AATGTACATAGCACCTTCTTTTTATCCAAACTGATATATTTACGACAGACAGACAAGAAATAACTTAAGACATTGATGGATACTGTACCATACTGTAAATGTATTTTCTCTTCCATAACGAGCTTATATTCTAAAATTCTGTTTCTTTCTTGTCCTTGCTCTGTTGTACCAAAGTAGAGTAGAAGATATGAAATAATCTCAACAAAAGGCTGTCTACAGTTAAATAAGTTTAGTCAACAAAAGACTGTCTACAGTTAAATTTCGGGGGAGACAAATTTAGAACTGTGCAGCTTTGCAAGGTACTCCTAATCTCCGTGTAATTCAACATTAATCTATATTTACATACTAATAAAATTTTCAGCCGCTTTGAGCCCAAATTGAGTCACTTTACTCTGTCTGTAGGACTTCTTGAGGGGATGGGAGGGGGAAGGACATGTCCATCAAGCATGATGCCAACATTTTTTTCCCAGAAAATTCCTACCATTCAAGGCAAAATGCAAGTTTCTGCAACTGAAAATTCAGGTGATGCCGTTAATTTACCTGCATTCACAAAATCTTCAAAACATATAAATTTTGAATCATTTAAGCCCACTTTTCAAATGATACTTTAACTTCAAATTTCGCTTCCAGTTCAGAACTCGTCTGGCTACTGAGTCTGTCTTTCTGGAAACTGTTTTGAATTATGATATTCCTCCGAGTTCAAGTAGCATAAATAAAGTAAATAGCGATTTTAAAAGCAGATCTCTTTCTTTGCATACAGTATGAAAATTATCATCTTTACTAACTTCTTCCTTTAAAACTTCCGGTGGTGCTTTGGACAAACGTCTGAAACTGATGAATGGCATTAGGTGGAAAATACAATAAATTGATTGAATCAAGCTTAATTAAAATATAGGTAGAGCAAACTTAAAAAACAAGAAGCTTTCTGCCTTATTTTTTGAATTTTTTGCCCCATTCTCTCACGCAGATTTCAAATGCAGAATTTAATCACGCTTAATTTTTGCAAAATAATTCTCTGTTAAAAATATAAAAACTTCTTGAAACACCTAAATTTCTTAGATTTATAAAACACAAAGGATTTATTGTGTTCTATTTAATTAAGAAGTAAAAAGGCAAGTGCTCTTTTTTATTCCATCATGAATTTAAAATCTATGTGGCAACATCTAGAAAAATAACCGATCTCATAAACCTTGTAAATATCTCTAGTAGCAAATTTTGCGAGAATTGGTTTTAACTTTGTCACCCATTCATCAACTCTTACTTCTCAAAGAGATAGACAAACCACAGTGTTGACGGCATACTATATCATATAAATCTTTAAATCTGCTAATCCATTTGTTATTAGATTTAAATTAAAGATGCCTAAGTTGACCTGCAATGGTTCTGGTCTTCTTTTGCAGAACAGTGCTGCTGATGGATAGATTTTTGAGTTCTAATAGCTTTGAAATGTTAAAAGTGTTTTTCGTGGTTGGGATATGCGAGAAAAAATACCTTTTCTAATCCTGCTTCATGGCGTTGGAGGACACTTTCTTCTCACTGAAAAACGTATAGCTTGGAATTCCAAATTCTACAGCAACATTCACCTTCATATTTCACTTTTCAGTTAACTTTATTTTTTACTTAATTGACAGTTCGCTTTGTCTTCTATATTGTATACTCATACAAACTTGCAAGGAAGCTTCTGCCTCGAACAGAACAAAATGACAGCCAGTGATTGTATTTTATTATTTTTATTTAGAAACTTTATCATTTATCTGAAAATCTTTTTTCGGAATAATTTAAAAAATACAGAACGATTTGCACGTTCTGAATTCCACTTATTATTATTAGGAATGGGGCACTCTAATTTTCTAGTTCAGTGAAAAAGAGTCCGAGATCGAAAACTTTAATCTTCGCTTTAGTTTCGTCATTGGAATCTAGTCATTCAGTGTGGAAACAGTTAAACATTTTGTGTTTAGTATTATCTTTGTTAAATTTTGAAATAATCCGCCCCTATTAATACTTGCTTAACACTTGACTTAAAATGATAACCTAAAATGTGAAATTTTTACTCATATAAATTGCCAAATTGTACAAGCTACACTGACATATAAACATTAATTTATCTGTTAAGATTTATTTAAAGAAGAAGAAGGAACGACTTAAACACTATTTTTCAATATAGTCATCTAGTACTGCAACGCACTTCCAAGACGTTTGTTAATTTCAAAAGAGCATTGTTTGCATATTAATCCAATCTTGCACACTCAGTATTAATTAGAAGCTCATTAGACTTTTATTTCTTTCCTCCTAAAAAGCTTTTAATTCGATCGAAGACATAACAATCCGTTTGTGCTAAACCTGAGCTATATGAGAAAGGGAATCCCACTTGAGTTCTTGCAGCATTTTCATCATCAAAGCAGAAGTGTGAGAGTAAAACTTCTTTGTCCTCAAAGAAACAAATTGAATCAAAACAAATTGGGCAACTCTCTTTCTGGTACGAATCGCTGGCTTCAATTACTTTTTAAAGATTATTGAAAATAAATATTATTAAATATAGAAAACTGAAGCAAAGGAGCTTCTTTTGAATCCCAAAAGAAAGCGGCCAGATTTTCACAAGTGAAAATGCTGTTTTGGCTTTTCATCGTAATGGTGAGCTTGAATGTCACCATTGCAGAGTTGTTAATTTTGTCTTTGCGGTGAAGCAGTGCACCTATGTTTCGACACAGGTTACTATAGAACTAAAAACTTGTCTTTATCATTTCTATAACGCTGAAGAAGCTATGGGACTTCAATCAATCTTCTTTCCTTGCATTCAATCATCAAAAGATGAGGAAAAAAACCTGGAGCTCAACTTGTTAAATTTTAACTCTTTAATTAATGTTTCCACCTTACATTTAATTTTAAGTTCTTCAGTGATATTTTTGAAAGTGATTCCATGATCAACCCAAATTAGAGCTTCAACGGCAGGCAACTTGCTTTCATCGGTAGAAATTTTTGGCAGATGTGCTTTGGTTCATTTTCAACTCTCATCTGCTCTCCTTTGAAAAGAGTGGCTTGGATTATTTGGATTATAGCAAAGCACTCGAGGGCTATCCACCTATCTAAAAGTATGCCTTTGCGAAGAACTTTCTGAGGAAAAACTGGTTTCTTATCAAGGTAACATAAGGAAAACTCCCATGCAGCCAGTCCGAAGTCTTGAATAAATCTGAGACAGAGAGATATCTTCGTCAGCCAAAAATCTGATGATGATTTCTGCGCAACACTCTTGTCAATTTTCTATTCTGATATGTTGATTACAATAACAAGTATGATGGAAATAGCACATTACTGTTGATAAATTCAAACCTATATGTATTTGCTCAATGAGTTATACTCGTAATACTTATAAGGTATTTCTTCCGCCTTCTTAGCATGCCTTCGTGGTGTAGTGGTCAGCACACTCGATGCGTTATTCGGGAGGTCCGTGGTTCGAATCCCGTCGAGGACATTGCTCATTTTTCATCTCTCCTGTTTCGAAAATACCTAATGTCTCTACAAACTCTTTTCGAGAATGGAGAGTGAATATTTACGCATATATATGAACATCTGTCGTAGTCAAGAAAATGAGCTTCAAGATCATTAAAGTTTTAAGACATACAATTTTTACTGAATTTCGCAGTTTTAAAAATTGCATTTTAAAATTAGTTTCTTATTAAACGATAATTTCAGATTTTGCTTTCGGACTTTAAATAAAAACCTGTTATTTTTCTCCCTTCTTACTATTTTTATTTGAAAATTTCGAGAGTCTTTTTGACTGTTCGTCCTACCACTAAGATTTTTATTTTTGTTTACTTTTAGTAGTCATAAATATGCTTGCATGTTTCAAAATTTTGATTTTTGCTGTTTATGACTTAATCAGTTGTTTTCCTTTCTAACAGTACTCTGAAATTATATTCATATGATTATCAGCAGTTATAACATTTTCTAGCAAAACTCTAATCGGAGCAATTAAATTTAATAATAAATAAAAGTTAAACGTTTAAATCGGAATATGTAGGCAATTATAATCACAAACTAAACTGTACGAAAATAAGTTAGAGTATAGTTACAAAATTGTAAAAAAAAAAAAAAAAAAAAAAATAAGAATCAAACCGAATTAAAATATGTGTATCAATTTAAATAAAGTTTTAGATTACCTAAAGATATAAGGAAATTAAACTAACGTTTGCAAATGAATAATAAAAAATAGTATCAAAGACAAAAAGATATCAATTTCCAGGCTCGAACGCCCTTCTTAATTTATTATTTTTTCCATTCAGCATCTCCTGCTTGTCTAGTTTACTAGCTTTCTCCTTTCTTCTTAACAGTTAGCGTGATTATGCTTTTACGCCTGGACTTTTCACCTGCGGGTTGCTTTGTTTTATTTCCGTGACCCAGCTATTTTCTATTGCTATTAAAGACAAGATGACTATCAGAAAAAAAAATAAAAAACAGTTATAGACTTTTAAGTTAAATCCATGACTCAGGCGCTAAGACGAAAAAGCCCAGTTCTGATGTTTGATATGTCAATGGCGCAATATAACTTTTGTCAATTGAGCTGCGTTGATAATGGCAAAGAATAGTACACACTGGAGGAGTTGGATAATAATAGAAGACTTAACATGGCAAAAAAGTGACTGGTTGGGAGTATGGAATGCAAACGTAGTTACTCAACCGCTTGTTAGGTCTGGTGGTTGGAAGCGGAACTCTTCGGAAGTCGCATAATTCAGAAAGAATTCTCAAACCCCAAACTACCACAGATAGACTCGCTTAGGAGACAGAACAAACAATAATTAGCAAGACTATTAGATTTAAAATTATAATCTGTATAAGTTGATTGGCTTATTGTATGAGGTTATATGCGGGTGATAGACTTGCTTTCCATAGATCCCAGATTTCATGCGTATATCATGTTACATGTATGATACAAGCATATTATTATTAAATATGTGTTGTGCTTACTAAAATAACTGATCCTCGGTGTGTATTAGAAATGCAGCTTTAGAATGAAAAATAATCTTTAATTTTTTGTTTACAAGCATTATACATTACAAACAAGCTTAATAGCTCATCGAGGGTGCGAAGTAACTGTGCGTTAAGAAAAGGAAGCTACTCTTAGAGTTCTTTTCCTGCCTCTCTCCGAGTCCACCTCAGATGTGATAAAAATTCTATTCGTTTTAAAAGCTCAAAACACAAAGTACATACAGAAATGACTTGCTTCGGTTGCTTCTAACAGGAAGCATTAGAAGTTTGTTTTTGCAGCTTGACTATTTGTACATATTATATGAAAGAATTTCAAATGATCATTGCAAAAGGCGATAAAATTAAATATGAGACGATATAAAAGAAGGCATAAAAATATACATTTAAAAACGTTTTTGTGCTCCCAGAGGTGTAGTAGAAATGGTCTTTCCAGTGTTCTTGAGATGAAGTCACGTATGTGCATCGCGATGGTTCATTGTAGACTCTTATGTTCCTAGGATAGGTAACAAGACCTGATATCTGGAGAAAAAATAAAATAAAAATATTTTAAGTTATTTTCTTAAACCAGTACAGTACATCCTGCTATAATATGAAGTATTTTATTATAATACCAGGAGGTAAGAAAGAAAAAGAAAATAATTAAAAGTCTCTTACTTGCAGCCTTCTACCATCTCCAAGAAAACACTGTATTGTATGGTAACCGTACCTCATAGCTGCTTCAGCTATACCGGCGTAATTAGAATCCCACGGATTATTTGTATGGAAATGTTGATAGAAAGTAAAATTGGAGTTATCATCATCTGCGTTAGTATGCCTAGGAAAACAATACACTAAATTAACATCTCAAATAAAAAAATGTTGAAATCTTTCATTTTTTTTATTTTGTTTCTTAATTTATCAAAAATACGATGAATTATTTTTTATAAGAAACAAAATCTTCGCACATTTATTTAGAGTTTCGAAAAATTCAGGAGCATCTCTACTATAAATTTACTCTTAGTTAAAAATACAGGTCAGAAAATTTTTACAAAGGTATTCAGAGGCTAATATGTTACTACGCTTAAAATGCATTTAAATTTACATGTCAGCATTTTCCATCGTCTTTCATTTCAATAGTTTGGAAATACCTTTAGTTTTAAATTTATGCTTCACTTTTAGTTTATTTTCAGAAGCACATATGCGCACACTTTAGCTTTCGATGTAATAAAGGTTTTTCTCAGCATTTATGGGCACTAATTTTTACTAATGACTTTTACAGACAGATATGACCGTAGACTTCCTTCCTTCCTCGAGACAATTAAAGATTTAAAATTATATTTTAAATACATACATATTTATTTAGAAGTCTATAAGGTATTTCTACGGCATTCTTAACATGTCTTTGTGGTGTAATGGTCAGCACACTCGGCGCGTATTCGAGAGGTACGTGGTTCGAGTCCCGGCGAGGGAATTGCTCAGTTTTCATCTCTCCTGCTTCAAAAAATCCCTAATGACTCTACAAGTCATACAACAAAAATCAGTATTATATTTGCAAATCTGAACAGGACTAGTTTCGATGGTTTTATCTGCCAAAGTGCAAATGAACAAGATAAGATAGTGTTACGAATTTGGTATTTAAAAAGCTAATGTTAGTTCAATTATAAATTAAATGGTTTTATTTCTCGCGCAGTGCAGCGCGTGACGAATATTAAAAGAAAGCTAAGCCGGAAAAAATTAAAAATACAAGAGCGCGTGCGTTAAATAAATAAATATCTCTTTTTTGATTTCGAGAAAGTGCTGGAAAAAATTCTAGAGCGTGATTTTAAAAATCTTATAAAAGGAGGAGGAAAACATCTCAGTTGTAGTAGCAGTTGTTTAGTTTGTTGTTGTTTAGAAAACTACTGTTGTTGATTTTGTAGCGAATTCGCGGATTATTAGAGATTAGCGTTCTTTAGCTGTTTTGAATTACGTTCTATTGGACATTTGAGTAGTTAAAAGATAATTACTGTGAGATATTGTAATACTGCATGATAATTTGAGAAAATTTAAGCAAATTTTGTTGTGATAATAATAAATTTTTGTTCATTTTTCATCGGACTTGTGCATTCATTTCATTTTTGGTGTCAGAAGTGGGGTTTGAATGCCAATAACAAGAGCGATGGAAGAACAATTCAGGCAAATGATGACTGCATTTGCTGCTTTCCAAGAAAAGATGGAAGGAGCCGTCAACTCCGTTAAGGAAGATATAAAAGCTGTACAAGAGAAAATGGATGCTGGTCAAATATCCGTTAAGGAAGAAATGAAAATTGGGCCAGGAATGCGTTAAGGAAGAGATGAAATCCCTTAAAGACGAGATGAAAGCAGGTCAGGACGAAATGAAAAAGAGAAATTACCTGCGTAATAGAAAATAAATTTGAGGCTATGGAAGGCAGAATAGACGCGGTTGAAACTAAAGTTGGACAAATAGAAGAAAGAGTTTCTTCGGTAAAAGAACAAGTAGAAGAAAGAATTTCTTCTGTAAAAGAAACATATAGAAGAGAGAGTTTCTGCCGTCGAACAACAAATTGATGATAGAGTTTCTGCTGCCGTCGCCAAAAAGAAGTTGACAGCCTAAAGAAGTGCATAGCGACGGTAGGAAACAATTCTGAAGGTTTTAAATTTTTTATCGATGCCTGCTCGTTCCCTTCTGAAACTATCCTACATATGATGGGAAGACCTCCTGGCAGGTGTATTGGACACAATTTTCTATCGTTGCGGATGCGAATGGATGGGATTCCCAAGCTAAGGCCTGTCATCTCGCCGCTTCTCTGAGAGCAGACGCAGCGGATATCCTGCAGACGCTTCCCGAAAATCAAAGGCTAGATTTCGAAGCTCTATCCGGCGCTTTGGAGCTGCGCTTCGGCGAGAAATGTTTAAAAGACTACAGCAGGCTCCAATTAAAATCTCGTCAACAGAAGCTCACCGAAACGCTTCAGGAGCTCGCCACGGATGTTGAAAGGCTGTCACACATCACGCCTTTTCGGAGTGCCCGACAGAAACAAGGGAAATCCTGTCCCTGCAATATTTCATCGATGGCATCCGGGACCCTGAAAATACAGAAAGCACTGCGAATGGCGGATGTTTAAAGATCTGAAAAGCGCTTTAGTGTATGCCATGAAATTTGAGGCAGGCCAGCAAGCCACCCGTCGAGACCGCCATCCAGTCAGAGCTGCTCAAGTCCAGGAGCCAGGGGATCAAGTCACTGCTCGTCTAGACGATTTAACTAGACAACTGAACGCCTTGAGACAGAAGAATATTGGTGACAAGAAAAAAACCGACCGTAAAAGTGCTGGAACTGCGGTGCTGAAGGACACATCCGACGAAACTGCAGAACACCCCAGGGCACGGATGCTAAGACCGCTCCTAACAAACAGCAGGGAAACTAATTAGTGGCCATCTCGCGGGGCGGAGGTTGCCAGATCATGAAAAGCCCCAGTTTAAAGCGCTTCAGATTTCTGCAGTGAGAGGCGGCAGTAATAATGGACTTTTCATAATAGGACATATTAATGGAGTTCCCTGCAATATGACGATAGATACAGGAGCCAACGTTACCATCATCCGAAAAAGATTTGGCTCAACAACTGGGAAGCAAACTTATCTGGACGCCGCCCTGCGTTACCCTACAGACTGTGTTCCGGTGAGAAGATCAACATCGATGGAAAAGTAAATGCTAACATCTCGTTTGGAAGTGCCGCTTACCATCACACGGCATATGTAGCAGAGATCACTGATTCTTGCATACTCGGATTGGACTTTCTAAGGAAATACAATTTTTCCTTGGACTTTAAAAATGACGAATTGCATTCTACATCTGAGGACATAGCGTTATTTGGAGTCAATGATGAAGTTAAATCTGTCCATAAAATCATAGCACAAGACAATATCACAATACCGGCAAGAACAGAAATTTTACTTCCTGGATCCATAGCCGAAAACAGAAATTTCCGCTACGGCATCATAGAATATCCCAATAACTGTAATAGCCCAAAAGGAGTACTAGTAGCCTCAACACTCGTCGACCTATCCAGAACGGTTATGCCGGTGAGAGTCGTCAATGTAACTGAGAAGGGGAGAATTATTAAGAAAGGTGAAGTGGTTGCAGCATGTACTCCAGTAACCACTGTTGAAAGAAAGAGTAACATCCAAGAATCCGTGTCCTCAGAGAGAAATTACATCGGAGTTATTGCAGAATGCGCAATTATTAAACGATAAAGAGAGGAATGCTGCCGATCGCGTCATTAAAGATCTTCAAGTTGTTTTCTCCCGCTCATCTTCTGACGTGGGTCGAACTAGTTTGACACAACATAGAATAGATACCGGCGATCATCCCCCGATCAAGCAACATCCAAGACGTCTACCGTTTGCTAAACAGGAAGAGGTGAGAACACTGTTAAAAGATATGGAAGAAAGCGATGTCATCGAGCCTTCAGTAAGTCCATGGGCATCTCCCATCGTCCTAGTCAGAAAGAAAGACGGCTCAACAAGATTTTGCGTCGACTATCGCCGGTTGAATGAGGTTACGAAGAAAGACAGTTACCCTCTTCCTAGAATTGACGACATTCTAGACACTCTTTCTGGCAGCAAGTGGTTCTCAACACTTGATTTAAAGAGTGGGTATTGGCAGGTAGAAATACAGCCTGAAGACCGAGAAAAGACGGCATTTACTACGGGACAAGGGCTTTGGCAATTCAAGGTGATGCCGTTTGGACTGTGTAATGCGCCGGCAACATTCGAACGTCTTATGAAACTGTTTTGAAAGGCCTTTCCTACGAAGCCTGCCTCATATACCTGGACGACATCATCATCGTCGGAAAGAGTTTTGAAGAACATTTAGAAAATCTTGGGAAGGTGCTTCAGAAACTGAAAGAAGCCAATCTGAAGCTGAGTCCCGCTAAATGCAAATTGTTCCGAAAGGAAGTGACTTACCTGGGACATGTCATTTCTGCAGAAGGTGTGCGCACGGATCCTGAAAAGGTATCAGCCGTTAAATCCTGGAAACGTCCCGAAAATGTCCATCAGCTGAGAAGCTTCCTAGGGCTTTGCACCTACTATAGGAAATTCGTGAAGGACTTTTCTTCATCGCAAGAGACCCCTACACAAGCTGACAGAGAGCAACCAAAAGTTCTTGTGGACAAAAGAATGCGAGGATGCATTTAACAACTTAAAGGAGGCTTTAACATCTGCTCCAATCCTGACGTATCCTCAGCTTGACCGACCATTTATTCTCGACACCGACGCGAGTAATGAAAGTGTTGGTGCTGTTTTGTCCCAAGAAATAGACGGCCAAGAACGTGTAGTGGCGTACTGGAGCAAGTGCCTGTCTAAACCGGAGAGGAATTATTGTGTCACCAGAAAGAGTTGCTCGCCATAGTCAAAGCTGTAGAACAGTTCCATCACTATCTATACGGCAGAAAATTCCTGCTCCGCACCGATCATGCATCATTGACCTGGCTTTTAAATTCCAAGAATCCTGAGGGTCAAATAGCCAGGTGGATACAGAGACTCCAAGAATATGACATCACTATCCGTCATCGTAAGGGATCATCACACGGAAACGCCGACGCCCTGTCTAGAAGACCTTGCCAAGAAAACTGTCGATATTGTTCCAGGGTGGAAGCGAAATACGAGCTGCTGACTCCGGTCGCAAGACAAATTACAACATCAACATCTGCTGATCGAGAACCGTGGAGTGATGATGAAGTCAGGAAAGACCAGCTGGAAGACCGCGACATTAAACCCATAATTGATCTAATGGAGTCGTCAAACAGAAAACCTACCTGGCAGGACATTTCTATCTGTAGTCCTACAACCAAACAATATTGGGCACTCTGGGATTCACTTCACATTCGAAACGGCGTCTTATACCGGAAATTCGAATCGGATGATGGGAAGACGTTCCGATGGCAGCTGATACTTCCAAGATCCCGCATTCCTGATGTCCTTAAAGAACTACATAACAGCCCTACGGGAGGTCACTTTGGAATAATGAAGACCTTACAGAGAGTTCGTGAGCGCTTTTACTGGAATAATGCAAAGGATGACGTGCAAAAGTGATGCCGATCTTGCGATGCCTGTGCAGGTCGGAAAGGACCTAAGAGACGCAGCCGAGGCAAGCTGCAACGTTACAACGTAGGGGCGCCTTTTGAACGAATCGCCTTTGACATCCTGGGACCTCTGCCACGAACTGCTGATGGCAACAAATACATACTCGTTGTCGTTGATTACTTCACCAAGTGGCCTGAAGCGTACCCTGTTCCTGATCAAGAGGCTGTCACAGTAGCTGAGGTAATGATACAGCACTGGATTTCCAGGTTCGGAGTGCCTCTTCAGTTACATTCCGATCAGGGAAGGAATTTTACCTCGGTAGTAATCAGAGAACTATGCAAACTACTCGGCATTGACAAGACCCAAACGACGCCATTACATCCCCAGTCGGACGGCATGGTAGAGAGGTTCAATCGAACCATCCTTAATAACCTCTCATTAGTGGTTTCCAGAAAGCAGCAGGACTGGGACAAGAAATTACCACTCTTTTTAGTGGCTTACCGCAGTGCTGTCCGAGACTACCGGTTATTCTCCATCACAGATGCTCTTCGGTCGTGACCTTCGTCTGCCTTGTGATCTATTTGTTTGGCCGCCCTCCGGATGCTCCTTCATCGTCTGAGGAATATATTCAAGATCTCCAGGCCCGGTTTGAAGTGATGCACAACTTTGCACGAGAGCGAGTCAACTTGGCGACGGAGAAGATGAAGACCCGCTACGACACAAGAGCTACTGAACATCAGTTCCACGAAGGAGACAAGGTGTGGTTGTGGAATCCGACTCGACGGAAAGGACTTTGTCCGAAATTACAGTCACCTTGGGATGGCCCGTATACAGTCCTAAAAAGGCTGAATGACGTCGTGGTTCGGATTCGTAAGTCTTCGAACTCTAAACCTAAAGTCGTTCATTACGACAGGTTAGCTCATTACTACCACCTGGCCATAGTACGTAATAATTTATGTAAATAATTGTAAATAGTATGTAAGTAATTCAGATGTAGTGTAAATAATTTTAAATAGTATAAGACCATGGTCCTTTTTGTTTATAAATGTGTATTTGATTTGTATTTAGTATTTGATTTGCATTCAGTATTTGATTTGTATTTAGTATTTGATTTGTATTTAGTATTTGTTTTGTATTTAGTATTTGATAGCATTTGATTTGTTTAAGTTAGTTATTGCATTTATTGTTTATATTGTTTGATATTGTAATGTAATGTTTATGCCTCAGTTGCATTTATGCCACAGTTGTAAGTTTAGCTTCCTGTCCAGGGATTGTACTGCCCGGGACGTGCAGTCCTTGGGAAGGGGGCAGTGTTACGAATTTGGTATTTAAAAAGCTAATGTTAGTTCAATTATAAATTAAATGGTTTTATTTCTCGCGCAGTGCAGCGCGTGACGAATATTAAAAGAAAGCTAAGCCGGAAAAAAATTAAAAATACAAGAGCGCGTGTGCGTTAAATAAATAAATATCTCTTTTTAATTTCGAGAAAGTGCTGGAAAATTCTAGCGCGTGATTTTAAAATCTTATAAAAGGAGGAAAACATCTCAGTTTGTAGCAGTTGTTTAGTTGTTGTTGTTTAGAAAACTACTGTTGTTGATTGTAGCGAATTCGCGGATTAGCGTTCTTTAGCTGTTTTGAATTACGTTCTATTGGACATTTGAGTAGTTAAAAGATAACTACTGTGAGATATTGTAATACTGCATGATAATTTGAGAAAATTTAAGCATTTTTGTTGTGATAATAATAAATTTTTGTTCATTTTTCATCGGACTTGTGCATTCATTTCATAACGAACCCGTACGCACGCAACAATATAGTAAAGAGATAAGATAAGAATAGTTGGACAGAAGTTAAGCTACTGGCGCCATCTATTGATGAAACAAGAGAACTAAAATATAATTTCCTTAAAGGCTGAAGTTAAAGATGGATTGGAATTACTGTCGTTAACTAGAACAAGAAGATTTTTTTGAATGTGAAACGCATCTACAAAATCTTATTCACCAATGAGAGATGTTTTTTGAATAATTTTAGCTGCAGAAAAATAGAAAGTGTGATTTTCGGGCCAAGTATGCTGGGCAACAGAGGACCTATGTGTTTCCATTTTCCTAACATATGTCTCATGTTCTTTAACTCAAAATTGTAAGGCTCTCTTAGTTTGACCAATGCAAATTAAACCACACTGTCAAGGAATCCTGTAAATATCCCAGGAATTTCTATCCAGAATGGGGTCCTTAAGTATGGAACTAGAAATTTTATTGATAGGTGAATAAACGACCCGAAAGTTGACTTTCTGTAAAATATGTGCAATTTTATAGCTAATTTATGGAAAGAAATAAATGACAATAGAATTCTTATAGTCTCCTAAAACAAGAGTGGAGATGAGATTTTTTTAACTGCTTGGATAATAACTTTGGGTAATAGTCAATAGCCACTGCTTTTAAGTAATTTAGTTCTTGATCAAGAGGCAATTTGGAGGAGCAAGCTTGAAAGCATATTAATTATTGTGCTTTCATTCAGAGAAAACATCTGACACCTATCAGTTCATTCGGGTCAGAAGTGCACTTTTGCCCAAAATAATGTGTCTATTTTCTCGAAACCCTAGAATACCATTCTTGTACACAGTTACATTGAATACCTACCACAACCTTTGCAGAATTATTTACTCCCTCAAGCATTTCTTCCACATACATATTGTTTCGCTTATCGCTTGTCAATTCAGTATACCACTGTTCCAAAGTCTGGGGAAAATCTTCGAATGGGTGAATTTAAAAAAGAAGAGCATAGCACATGTATCTCTCGGGTTTCTTAAAGAAAAAAGTGCGCGCTATACGACCAATATACCTAAAAATTTTAAAATATAGTTTGAAATTATAGGTGCGCGTTATATGCTGGAATATACAGTGTATTTATTCAGCTGCCAAAGGGATGATTACAATATAATTCACGAAATTGGTGCAGCCTGTTTTCTCATTACTTAGCCAATACTCTTCTCTAATTTTACATTCTAATGTGTTTTAGAACATTTCATTCTTCGAATGCATTTTAGAATCTAATATTCTAATGCATTTCCATTTTTATCTCAGTGTGAAAATTCTTACAGTTGTAAACATTGCAGAATGTAGACAGTAAAAACAATTCCTTTTACAGCTGATTACTGTTATGTTATTATCACACTGTTACCTTTAATTTTATTTTCTAGACGGTTTTAAATAAGATTAAAAAAACAACATTGCCTTAAATAACTGTTTTCATAATTCCAAGACGTGGCTACAAAGTACTTAACAGTAATTTATAAAAATGTAATATTAAAGAAATAGGGAATTGTAAAAGACACAATTAGCTACTTTCCTTGTTAGTTTTAAAAACAGTTTCTGTGTACTCATTAAGGAGAATACGCACTCACTTGCAAATTATGCTTTAAATGAATCTCTTTCAGGTATAAGTTTAAAAAATGCAAGTGCTCATTCAGAAATAATAAAACTACCTCCCACTATCTTCTAACTCACTGCTCTTCAACACATGTGATTTTGCAGCTAGTGTAGGCTGGAATTAAAGTTGCTAATATTCACAAAATAACTCACGATTTAAAATATAAATGTTAATCTAAATGTTCATCTAATTGCTTCTTATAATTACTACTTAAGAATTAGTCTTCCAGCCAGCAAGCACACTTAACGCATGGGAAGTAAGAGAAATAAACAAAATAATAATTTGTCGAAACAATATAATGGAGCTTTTACAAGACCTATTATATTAAGTCTTTGCAAGACAATTGAAAAAACATGTTTTAAATGAGGCACTTGATATAGACTTTTCTGCACCTCTCCAGAAATTCTTTGCGTACACAAATTCAGCTATTACTATTAGAAAGTGCAAATTTACATTCTTTTGTGGTATTTTCAATCATGTCTTGAACATAAAAATTAAACTAGGCAACACATTCATTATTTGGTTTCTAGAAATTCTTAAGAGTTGCCAAAGCTAAAGTTTGATGAACTTAGATGGACTTCTCTAGTTCAAAAACTTCTTTTTTGAAGGTAAATAAAATATCATTACATACTATATTTTTCATGAAATAAAATCTAAGCACTATAAAATAATCACTTAAAAGACATTTTGTATATTAAAAATATAAAAAAAAAATTGACAAGTAAACTTCGTAATTAACTGTAATTTCTGTTGCCTTACTTCGAGTCCATTCCAGCTAAACTCTTCACCAGATCACATGTAGCGCTGCTAAGTGCTCTTGCTCTTGCTATTCGAGGGTAATATAAGACAAATGCTAAGCACATCTCTTGACCAGTTCCAAGTCCTCCCTATAACATATATACATGAGAATTAAACAACTGTCATACACGTGAAGATCGTTAATAGTATTTAATTACAAATTTTTAATCATTCACATACATTACATGTGCAACGGGAATTATACTTTATTATACTGTTTACTTTAGATTAATATAAACTTTGCATCGGTCAATGCCATTAAAGAGTGACTACAATGGAAGACTATGGTGTATGCAGAAAGAAAATTGTCTGCTTTCTGAACATTAGTTAAGAAAACAGACAACTTTCTTCACAAATCAGATCCTTCTGCTACAGGCAAAACTGAAGATCTAAACGGTTTTATTGGATTGATAAATCTCAAGAAATCAAAGTGTATTGGATTGAAACCATAACCAGCTTTATTGGATTAATGAAAGAAAATGCATTTAATGTTCTAAAGTTACACTGTGCATGCGAAGGTTATCTAAATACTAACAATGATTATTTTGATTAAAGTAAATTTGAGCAGAGGAGGAAACTGCTTTCGTCTACACTAAGTTTCATGCTTATTCAGAAGGAATGGGTATTACCTTAGAAGATCTTTTGCTATATGCTGAAACAAATTGGCCTGTTCGAGGGAAGTGTTTGATAAACTATTTTAAATAAACTATTTTTCTGCCTGCTGACCAAATACCACATTGACTTGGTATTAAAAATAAATTAAAGGATATTAATTTAACTTAAATTACAGCTAGAAAAGGAAGAGAAAGAAATTTTTTGGTGATATTGATGTCTTCATGGAGAAATTAATCCTATTTAAGCTGAATTTACAAACGAATATACTGTTTCATTCAGCTCATTGCATGATATGTTCAGAAAAAGAGTGTGCCCACTTTATAAAATATACAAATCGAGCTGAAGTGCTGATTTCAGAACTTAGATCGTAGATCACAAGACAAAGTTCTTTTTTTCACAAATGGTAATTTAAAGAAAGTAAATTTAATCAGAGTAAAGTATATTTGATCAGCACACGAAGTTCTATGCTTATTCAGAAAGAGTGTAATAATCAGAACATGAATCTTAGATCTCAAGGCAAAGAAAGTTCCCCCTCCTCCTATACAAGTGGAGAGTGGGAAGGGTACTCCTTAACAGGCTGATCACAAAGGAATTTGAGAAAGTTAATCCAATTTTGAAAATAGAATGAAATAAATTTCCTTTTCATCTGCTTCAAAGCAATGGCATTTTTTCTTTATGCTCAGATCCTAAGATCTCCTTCGAAGCAGTGCTGTTCTTCATTTATTATTCGAGGAATCTCTCTGCAGTTTGGTTTAATCCTGGGGTAAGTTTTTACGGAAAATCCATTCTTCCTATTCTCACAAATGTTTTATGCATTATTGCTCTAAATTCCGACAAAAATCAATCAGGAAATTAGGAAAAGTGTTCTTTTAATATCATAGCTTTGGGTATGAAATAAATATACTATTCGAAATTCTTAGAGAGCGACATTAAAGTGAGATGTAAGATAATCAGCTAATTTTAGCTGCAGTTAAAATCATTTCCCATAAGCTGGAACTCGATTACTTGTGATAAGAAGTGTTTTAAGTAGTGTTGAAAGGTCTCGTTGTTGAGTTATTGAATTGCTTCCAAACTTGAGATTAGTAGTCGATTAAGCAGCAAGAAAACTAACATTCGCAATTTGGGTATCTTTTTAAGTTCCTGTTCAGTAATTAAAGAAAAAAGAAATTCTCCATTGGGGAAAATGTCTTTAAAGGAAATAAAGTTTGAAAAGGTTGAACGCAGAAATAAAGATTTGTAACTTTTAGGAATTCTGTTTGAGCTAATTAGCTACGTAAGATCGAAAAGGATCAACTTTGAAGAAACAGACAATTCTGCATATTGATAATATAAAATCAGGCATGAAAAAAAAAAGATCTTGGGCAAGTTCTGTGTTCTTAGCTGGAAAACTATTCAAGTTACATAAGTTGTCATTGTTTTTCCTTTAATTTTGGCTGTCAGTATATTTCGAATGCTGAAGGGCTGGCAGTTTGACTCCGTAAAGAATATTCAGGCGGAATCACAGAGAGTGCTAGGCACACTTCCAAGAAAAAGAACTTATTGTGGAATTATCTTATTTGTGGAAGATTCTTCAACAAGGGTAGTAATTACCACGGAGAATTGGGTTTTTTATAGTGCTTTTTATTTTTGTAATATTTACATTATAGTAACTGTAAAAACGCTAGTATTGATGCATAAGTGTAGAACAGATTATTTAAAAAAAGATGGAGACCAGAATTACTTCAAGTGAGTTTAGAAATACTGGTAAGCTCTGTCTGGTATCGTTTGAAAGACGGAAACAATGTATCTTATTTGTGGAAGATTCTTCAACAAGGGTAGTAATTACCACGGAGAAATGGTTTTTTTATATAGTGTTTTTTATTTTTGTAATATTTACATTTATTAGGTAATTATAACTACCATGACCACTGCACTATTCTGCAGTAAAATTCTTTCAATGAAAATGTTGAGTTTGTAGCACAGTTTAGGAATTGTTTACTCTGAAACTGGTCATAAAAATTTTGTATTATCTGCTTTGATTTTCAGAAATAAACTATAGTTTATGATAAAAATTACATTTTTAAGGGAAAAAACCCGTTGTAATTGAAGTAGCCTATTTTTTTAGATGCCAGTTAACAAGTATGCTATTTACTAACATAAGCACTATAATAAAGTACACATGTGGAATAAAAAAGGGCAGTTTAAATAACTATAAGCAAACATATTGCTATGATCATCAAGGATTGATGAGAAAACGTAATCTGTCAAATACTAAAAATTTAGAGGCTCTTCATTGGTTCATCCAATATGTATGCTTAAAAACAGTTTTAAATTTTCAGTGGGAATGAATTTTCTATTATTCCTGTAGCTTATGTTGTAAACATGAAAGGGACTTATGTTGATACTTCAGCATTTCTTCAAAATAGACACTACGAAGAAAACAATGGAATGGCCATGCTGATTCGAAGACTCTAATGTATTACTGATAGGCTTCAAGTAAACTCAATCAGATTTTACTGTTTTTATGCATGTGAAACAGTTAACAAAGGTCGACCGCTACATCATAAAATCGGCCTCTACTTGAAATTACTGCACCTGATGAGAAATGTGGTGGGTGAAGACTTTACAGACAAGGAAAAATATTTAACTCAGCTTCATCTAAAACAAAGTTTCATTAATGTGCTCCTTAAACCTGTGATGAAAAAAAGAAGGCCATTATTATTATTCATACAGGTAGGAAAACCTTTTTGTAACGGCTCTGTTATGAAGATTTCTGTTTTTTCAAATAATGGTCGACTTGTATAAAGATGTTGGCACCATTATAAAGATGTCTCTAGCAGATTTCGTTGCTCCCGATTAAGAGGGACCTGTACATGTTTGCCCTCGATATCGATTGAAATCTTGCCTTAAATCTACGCCAAACTCAAGGTTGTTGTGTTACTAATTTTATGTTTTATTTGGCGTGTTTCTCTTCTGCTTTCATTAGAATGAATGTTAAAATAGGTATTATATGGAAGGTAATTTGAGGCATACTATTAATTATTTATAAAGTATTACTAACATAAAATCGGCTGCTGTTTCTTTCAAGATTTCCCTTTTGTATTTATTTAAGTTTTCAAAACCTACCCATGCATTATATATCAGAATGTCTTCTTATACGGAAGTTTTAAACAAAATTTAATTAAACAGAAATGTGAAAGTCATAATAAATACACAACAAATTTAAAATGAAGGATTTTTTTAAATAAATAATGAGCTGAAAAGAGAATTCCACATCCCTTTTCCAAGTTAAGAATAGATTGGATTACTTGGATTACTTAATTATGGCAAAGCACACGAGGGCTATCTGTCTAAAGGGAGGGATGCCTTCGTGGAGGACTTTCTACCAATTTAAGAATAATAATTGCACCATGTCTAAGATACATTATTATTTCTGTTGAATGGCATTTAAATTGCAGTTATTTTTCTCCGAATAATAAATTAAAAGGTTTTCTTTTAGCAGTCACTAGCTCTAATTTATGTATCTTTGCTATTGATTTAAATTATCTGTTGAATTTACAAGAGACACATTGAACGAAAATATTAGAGCCTGCCAGATATACTATATCAATTAGTGTACATTATTTTGCGAATGGGCAAAATATTTATTGTATTAAAGCATTAGTTTCTCAAATGTACTTTTAAACTGAATGGGAAAAAGTAAAACTTCTTTTGTACATTTCGCTTATGTTTCACTCTATCTGAAATGCACCATTATCTGTGAAATATTAAATTAACCAAAAAAGAAATTTATGGAAATACATTGGCCATTAATAAAAACGACATTTCATAGAGATTCATAAGAAGAGTATCTATGAAGAAAACTACTAGTATATTTTTATGAAGGTGCATTAAGTCGTAATATGAACAACAACAACAACAACAACAAAAAAAAAAAAAAAAAAAAAGAAGTAGGTGTCTCTTATTGCTTTTGTTTTTCCTTAAGGTAAAACATATAAGCGCAATTTATTTTTGAAGTTTGCTTAGTTATTTGATGATGGAGGTACTAAATAATATGAATTATAGTAACTTAACAATTATCTTGAAAATTAAAATAAATGGGCATATATACGATAAGGATGAGACATAAAAATCACTTATTTTTGATTACAAGATTCAATATATTCATAGCATTTACGATTAATAAAGTAATTCGAATTCATCCGAAACAGTGTGTGAGAGAAATTAACCAGATTTCATGAGTTAATTAGACGCGAAATAGATCCGGATCAATTGCTCGGATCCTCAATGAAGACTATCATTATCGTCGACATATTTTCTGGCTTGAATGCATATGTTTTCATGTTGATAGAAGGAATTTCATGTTACAATTTATTTATTTATAATGAAGTCATGGTAATTTTTGCCTACAAGCTATAAATGGATATTTATTGAATTCTAAAATAATCTAAAACTCTAAATTCTTGTCTCTTAATTCCCCGGTTACAGTTCGTTCCAAGAGAGTTTATGCCTGAAGAAGAATCTTGTTACTAATAACAGAACTGCTAATCAGCTCATTCTTAAATTTCGTGTAAGGTACGATCTTCACCGGAAAACGTCCAAGCCTCCCCCCCCCCAAATTAGCTGTTGATGCTCATTGCAACGCTCACAGAGGTTCAAGGAGCAAAATGTCCTTCAGTGGTCGCAGTAGTTTTATGTGTGACGCAAATGTGCCGTTTACATGCCCTTGGTTGTGATGCATTCGCGGTTCGTGGTGAAATAAATATGATAACGGTTTATGTGTAACGAAAATACGTCTTAGTTTCTCCTTGAAAGTCATCCACAAAGGCATCCTTCTCTTGAAGTAAATAGCGATCGTGTGCTTTTTCGATATTTAAATTAAAAACAAACAAGCCGAGAAGCAAAATCTGACGGCTTCTTTGGCGACTGTAGCGCGAGGAAGGACATTTGCCATTTAAGAACTTTAAACCAATATTTCAAACATATTTCCAAACACCTCAAAGTTTATCAGCAACTAATTTTAGACTATTAGATTTTAGACTTAAAATAAATTTTAACACTCTATGAACTTTGAGGTGAGTAACTAGGTGAGCTTCAGTTAGTAGAAATGTACGGATATCTTAAAGGGCTTTTTGAAAAATCTTATTTTATATTAGTTATTCTCAAAATTCATTAAATAATTATTTCATGAATTGAATGCTAAAACAAAGATTGTCATTGAAACGTTAGAGCAACGTGGGAAAATAGACTAAATACAACAGCAGAAAGAATCTAAATGAATGGAATAAAGAACTGAAAGATATTCGTGTTCATACAACTTACAAAAGTTGTCATGTTTCTTCCCGTTGAGTCATAGGTGCACTCCACAGTTAGATGATCTCCCTATATTTTTGGAAAAAAAATAAGAAGAATTGAAATATTGAATAAGCCACAATTTTATTGTAATCAAGCTGAAAATAGCTCTACACTTATATTTCTGCACAAATATACAAATTCGAAACTCCCAAATATATAAATTCCAAACTTACAAAAACTTAATTGGATTTTTCCGTTATAGAAAAACACGCGCCAAACAATTTTCTACACAAAGGTATATGCTTCAAAAGTTGCCTACTAGCCACTGTTAAAGTATATGTGTTATTCTTGTCTTTTTTCTGTTCAAAAGTTCAAATAATATTGTTAATAAAAATTTGTTTAAGTGTGTCATTCTATTTGTCACTCTATTCATTTATTAAAACAAATGAAAAATTAATATATATATATATATATATATATGTAAGGTATAATGTCTTATGTTTAAAAAATTTTATCACTATCGAAATGAGCGGAAAATAAAACACTAGAAGTTGTCTTTTTTTTTTTTTTTTTTTTCCTTTTCATTTTATAGTGAGGAATCTTCTAGTGAGGAATTGCCTCATCGGAAATATCAGGCTGGAGTATATAGCTTTCTAGAGAAAACTGTTTGGCTCATGTTGTCCAGCAATAGAAAAGATTCAAAGGTTTCTTTCTTTCTTTCCTTTTTTTTTTTTTTTTTTATGCAACCTTAATATCGAATCAAAATAATTCACAATAAAATAAAAGTTTTTTTTTATTCATTTTGAATAATTTAACGTCATCCTGTTATAAAAACTTTGATCAACGTATTAAGGCAAATATTTAAAAAATTGAAGAAATATTACTTTTTAAGTGTGTGGGAGGGGAGGAAAAATGGTAAATGAATTTTTTCTTTTAGTTTATTTCTTTTTTCTTTCCCTTTAGAGGTTCCTTTTAAAGAGGTGTTTTTTAAATCTTGTCTTTTTAAGCTTATAGTCACCCTGAATTATTGTACAATTAAGTCTTTTATGCGTATAGTTAGGACTTTAATTTTCCTTAATTCGACTTTTATTTCCCCCCACCCTAACATGCCAGAAATCAACAGTGATAAACGTAAACGAAAAGCATTACTGCGACTAAATTTGCTTCGTCTGAATTTTCTTACAAAATAGATAAAATATTATTCAAATAAATACCTTTAATTATAATTTTATGGAATTCATTTATAATACAAAATGTTGCTCTGTATCACCAAAGTTTTGCGTTGACAGTATTTAGAAAATAAAAAAAATAGAGAGGAACATAACTAGCATCCTTTATTCTTATGAAAAATTTGTGAAAGTAGTATATTTCAGAACAAGAATAGATGCTGTAAAAAACTTTGCGAAAATAGCGCAATTTAAACTCATGTTTGAAGAAATTTGACAGAAGTAAATATGAAATGGTTTACACATAATAGTATCATAGATTACAGAAGAATAAGAAGTATACATACTGGTTTGATTATGACTTCCTGTTTTAGATATCTGTATTCCTGAAAAAAGAAAAAAGAAATACTAACGTATAAATATATAGATGTAAAAATGTTTACCCTACATGTAAGGTAATAATTCGCATTAGTGTTATCCAGATACTACATATTAACCAAGAATAAATTTACTAGCATTCTTGCTGCGACTGCTGTATTACGCACATGGCACTTTCGGCGGGATCCGATTATATTCACCACGACTGCAAAGCCACGGGCATCCCATCAGAGGCCGAATGTTTAAGACCGTTAAACGCAAGTAGTTCGACCTGGCTTCGAACCCAAGTGAACGATATTGCTGCATGTTTGGGGTTCGTGGCTTCGTCCATGTATAACGTAAATACGAGCCAGTATATCTTAGGAAGTCCTCCACGACGGCATCTCTCCGCTTAAAGTCCTAGTGTACTTTGCCATATTCAAATAAGCTAACCTGATTTAACTTGCAAACCCCAAGCACAATGACAAATGAATAGTGTCCTTCAGGAAGCCCATCACGAAGGCACATTTTCCCTTAAACAGGACATCTTTCCTCTCATTGGCTTTGCCATACTCAAACAAACAAAACAAATTAAAAAATAAAATACGTTTGCTTTACTATTTATATGAACGTTCTACTACAACATGCTTTGACTTTGTTAAGAATCTGGTTGACATTTTTAAGTAAATATTTGTCCTAAATGCAGAATGTTACAGAGTAGAACATAAGTATAGCAAATTTATCAGAGTGAAAAATCTGGTGAAATTAAATAAATTATTATTTAATAGGATGAACAATAAAACAGAGCTTTAAGAATTCGTATTCAGTTCACACAATCATTTTAGGATGATAATTTCGAATGTTTTCTTATAATATACTCCAATTAACAGCGCATTTTCAAAAGCTTTCTTTTTCGAATTAGATGGTTAGTAATACAGAGTTTACATTAGGATTGCACTACTAATTCTTAAAAAAACTGACCGTAAATACATAGTTTTAATTTAAGAAATGATTCAAATTTCAAAATATGACTTTCTGGTAGCATGAAAAATTTTAATAAATATGTACTAAAATTAATTTTTTATACTGGTCTTTCTATGGAACAATTTTCAGTAAGCCGTTCCTATCTTACCAAAAATTTCTGAGAGGGGAGGATATTGTAGCATGCAAAATTGAGCCATGAAATGAACTGTCAGGTTATATATATGCCCTAAAATGCCTTTTCATCCCATAAATGGGAAACCAGAGAATCGACTTTTAGGAGGTGGTAAAAAAAGTGAATTTTAGTAGATTAAAGGAATTTTTAATTTTGGCGTTTGTACAAATGGGAAATTTGTAAACAGTGCTTTCATGTATTTTTTTTTTTTTTCAGTCTTAAAAGGTAATTTTAAAATGTGCAATAAAAAACTTTGTGCAAAAGCCTTAACAACACTCGTTAACGATTGTCCAAATTTCTAAAGAATGAGGCAATTTGATTGTACGAAGACAGAATTTCTTTCTTTTGTTAAATCACCGTGAAAAAGATTTTTTCTCATTGATATTGCTTTTTCGCGATGTGTGTATAAGATTTTTAAGATATAGTATTTCCAAACGTCACGAAAATTATGGCAACCTGAAAGTCTATAGAAAGTTTATAGTAGTAACCCACCATCCTCGTGCGGCGGAGGTGACGACACAGAAAAGGCGCGTGGAAAAGAAGAAAGTAAAAAGAAAAGAAGTAAGAAATGTCGAAGAAAAAAAATTAAAATAAACATTTCCTTTTATATAAACAAAAAGGAAAAAACTAAACTTCTGAAAATAAATATTACTTTTGTGTAATAAATATGCGAAACGTAAAAAAATGAGAATAAAAATATGAAAAGAAAAATTAAACTGAAAAAATATTTCATTTATAAAATAAAAATAATTAAACGTGAAATAACTTTTTAAAGTAGAAATGTGAAAAGGAAGCATTAAATTTGTGAAAAAGTCACTTTTGTAAAATAGAAAATATAAAAAAATTAATTTATGAGATGTAAAAATAAAATTCACGTTTGATAAAAGACAAAAAAATGAGAAATGAAAAAATAGTAAATTTAACTTTGTAAAAGGTGAGAAGGAAAGGAAAACAATGAAAAAATATGCTTGTAAAATAAAAAGAGAAATTAAAAATGTGGGAATATCTTACAATTTAAACAACAGAAAGCAAATTCAAAGTAATGTCCCATAATACTTCAAGAAACAAACACGCTGATTGGTGAATGTAAAAGAAAATATTGTTAACGAGAAACTGGTCTTTATAAATGCGTTCATTCACCGTCGCAGAAGCACAAAAGGCATGAAATGGCTTGGACATGTTGGAACAGGCTTGAACATGCGCAGTTCTTCAGCTTAGTGACATCACGGTTTTTTCCGATGCTGGGTAAGGTCAATTAACAGGATTCAAAGGATAATTCCATGGCTTAAATGTGCGCGTCTTCCAGTGACTTCGACTTCCATGCGAGAGGTTGCAGGAAATCTTGTAAAAAATAGTGTCGTTGCTACGAAATAAAAACAAAACTGTCATGCATGACTTCATTAAAACACGTCTACGCAATTTCCGAGAAATCAAAGAGGGAGACATCGTTTCCAGTTATCATGTGATCCAAAATGGCGGCGGTCTCGCTCCTTTCCTGTGACGTCACTTCCACCCCACAAGGATCGTGAGTTACTACTTCTACTTAATTTGAGTCATTTTGAAACCCGAACTGTGAATCTGTGTCTTCGATTAACAAACAATCAAACGGATAATCTTTTTAAATACCCTTCGTAATTTAGTAAAATGCAATAAAATATAATTAAAGAACGAAAAAGAATGTACTATACACTTAAATAAAAATGTGATTCTTATAATTTGTCAGACATCACCATTTTCTAGACAGATGATGATTAACAACCAAATGTCCAGCCATTAAGAAAGGGGAGAATCTATGGGATATGTAGTGTGATAAAAGCTGAAGTGGGCTTCCTCCTACATAAATGTAACTTTCAGTATAAAAGCATTTGATTTTGAATTAAGAAATATTTTCCTCCGTTGGACGTTCATTTTTTCTTATGAGCTGAGTCAAAAAGTGTTTAAGAATCTCCGTTAACTTGCGTAAAATATGAAAGGATTCCATGCATTAATTTAAGTGCAATAGACTGTCTTAGATAACACTGAAAATTCTAAATTTTGCTCTGGCCTAAGAAACTGTGTGATTAAATAAGAGATGACTTTTCGAAAAATATTTGTGATTGGAAAAATAGTCTTCAGATGCGTAATGGTTGGAAGCCAATAAAATTTTGCTTGGTTCTCATATACTTTATATTCATGTAACATAGTGTTTAAAATATGAAACTGCACTCAAACCGGTAATACTAATTCAGCGATGAAACAAAAAGAAACGCCTTTCTATTTCTCGCTTCTTAAAAGAATATTTACTTGATGTAGGGTAAGGTTGCTATCGATAGGCCGGTTGCTTCGTTGACCCCCTCCATTATTTTCTAGTTATTGGGACAATAGGCTCTATCTGTTGACTCTTTAATATACTACATGAAGCTTAAAACCGCCGTCTTGGCTGGGAATTGATCCACGCTGAAACAAGATTGCTGTACAAGAAAGTAAGATTTTTTGTACTTTTCTTCTAATTTATTAGTGTAATGAAAATACAGAAATCAGTGAGACGTTAATAGCGTTTAAGTTGTTACTGATAACATTTAAAACTGTGTAAAATCAGCGTTATTTGGCTATATTAACAATAACTGTTTACTTTGTTATAACTGAAATCAAAGACGTATTACATACCGACTGCTAGTTGCCTTCAATGAGACAGCCTGTGTTGCTGTGAATGGGCTGTGGGCTCAACAATGGAAACCATATCGATGCTAATATTATGTAACTTTTTTAAGTTGAAGAATAAAATATCACTGTATCTGATTTAGTAAAAAGCTATCAGAAGTAGTTAAATCTATAATTAGATAATAATCTCATTTCCTTTGTTATAAATTATTCACCCCTTAACGTTTCGTTCTTCAAGCCATTGAGCAGTTATTACATCAGTGAAATGGAGAAGTTTCTACAACAGAGACGGAGACAAAAGATATTAGAAATTGTCATTCAGTTTCATAGAGCAAGATTGTTTGGGAAAGTTTATGGACAAGCAGCAACAATAGTGTCGGCAATGAATGGTTTTGCTAAAATAGGAGTTTGGCCAGTGAAAAGAAATGTACTTCAAGACTCATTTTGTTGCAACAGTACAGTTTGAAACAAATGATGTTCCTACTGTAGAAGTTCCTGACACATGTCTAACTGCTTCTACTAGTGGATTGTCATACGACATACAGGCTCCGGGGAGAAAACCTGTTTCAACGACCAGTGGAACAGAATCAGAACCGCTTCCAGCTGGTGCATCAACACTGTTCTCCAAAGTTAAAGTTTCCTTGGGTGAAATCTCTCCAATTCAATCTATAGTCTCAGTTGGAAAAGGCTCAAACAAAGCACAAAATCAATACTGATAACAAGTAGCCCATTAAGACGATAGCATTAAGATGACTTTCATTAAGATGATAATGTATTAAAAAGAAAATTGCTGTCAGCCCATTCATAGAAACTCTCCGGCTCAAAGAAGGCGACCAGTTTCCTTCACTGGGCCAGTGGCATCTATTTTTATTTTTTTAATATTTACTGAACATTTTATAATTATAAAATCTCTTCCTAAATATATGTAGTATGGAAAGTAATATTTACATTAACATGTACAAAACTGTAACATTGCCACAATTTGACGATTTTAAGGATCATTTTGTAAAAGTGGCCCATCGATAGCAACCTTTCCCTATATTTCGCTCTTCAATAATGAATTCTCATTGCAAAAACTCAATTCATTACACAGAGTACAATGTTTCAGTACCTGCCTCTCTAATAACATGAAGAAAACTGAATACAGACAATTTAAATATTTAATCAGTGATGTGACACTTGTGCACATGGCAATTCCGCACATCATCCTTGCAGGAACGGGAAATTTTCTAACAAGTGAAACCAGTTATACACAACAAGGGACACTTCCGCACAGCTCGTCAGAAACAATCAATGAGCCTAATGATTTATGATTTGTGTCCATTCCTGCGCTGGCGGTACGTTTCTCATAACAATAATTTCCTTGCTTGCGTGCACAATCTCTCCAAAATGATTCGTCAAAATAAAAAAAAAAAAAAAAAAAAAAAAAAAAAAAAACTGTATAAACCCTAAATTAGTAATTGCTATACCTCTATAGATACAAAATTTTAAAAAATGTTATTTCTTAAGAAAACGTAATTATATTACTTTTTAACGCAAGTCATTTTAATTGTACATTATTCTCTTTTTATATTGGGGAAAACAGAAACTGATTTAGTTACATAATCCCGCGCGCAGTATGTATGTAAATATTATGCAAATGACAAAAAAAGTATTTCATTTAAAATATTTTAATATTTAGAATATGAAATAAAAGTATCAAATATATTATTAAGGATATCGGAATAAGTATACAAAATGCACTCTCATAAACCTGTTATATAGATACCAAACTTCAAACTTTGTTGTATTTTGGGGATATTTTGATACTTTAAAGGTACCCAGCTCCTTAAGGTATTTATTATTCTTTACATGTTTACCCATATATAAATATTTTGTTAAAATCTTTATTTGTTCGGTCGAGTAACTTAAAATGTTGTAATGAAAATCGATACTTCATGTCGCTGCTCCAAGTTATCGAAAGTCAGTCAAGAAGACGTGGTTTTGTGTGGAACTGCCACTAAACTATACAAACTTCTAATTGCCCATTCAACAATGAATGTTTCTTGTGTGCAAATGTTTTTCAATTTGGGCACAAGTGCCGTGTGCGCAAGTGCCACTAAACCATTTAATCGGCCTCCGGCAGGAACTTCAGCTGAAGCGCAAACAGGAATATCCTGAAAGGGAGCGCTAATGCTCAGTACTGAACATGACACGTTTGTAGCTTCACAAGGAATTGCAAATAGGATGCATTCTTGAACGTCACGAATAGTGAACTAAGGTGACCACCTACAGAGAAGACATTCTTACGGAATAGTGGGCGATCGGCTTAGGAAGATTTCTCTACTTTAGTGAAAAATGTAAATAGCATGGGTTAACTTCGAAAAGAGAAATATTTTATAGAAACACTGTTATGAATTAATTTAAAATGCATCCTAGTAACTTCATTTGGATTCATCTTAAATGCTTTATAATTGCCATTCCTTCTATCTCTATTAACGCCGTAATTTTTTTTAAAGTAAAATATTTGTTCAACTCATTGACAAAATAAATAAGATTCTCTTCTGTTGATAAGCGTAAAAATAATATTATAAAATTCAAGCAGAAAACATAAACACCTTATTCAGAAATGATTTGTAGGTGTGAATGGACGTTGTCTGTCGTTTGGTATGTGTTCAAAAATGCTTTCTGCAATGAAGTGCTTTCACTAAAAAATCTGCGAGGAAGCCAATAAGAGGACACGTTTTTATTTTGCTGTTATTGTATGGTTTAAAAAGGAGCTAAAAAAAGTGAAATCTGTTTAAAAAAAGATTATGCAGTTAATCCTAAGAAACATTAAAAATATTTGTTTTCCAAATGGTTTATATGTCTCCGAAGAATCGACTTATATCCTACAATATATCGTCGCAGTTCGGACATTCTCGGTAGTTTTCTCAGAAGTTTTTGCTTTCCCATGCTTCTGGAAGTTAATAATAATTCCAAATGTAATCAAATGCCTACGCCGGCACATACTAGCACCTCCAAATCAGAAGGAAAATATCAGTGTAAAATCACTGACTGGGATTTTTATTACATTTTATAATGCCATCCTTGCTCCACTTCCATCAGGGAGGACTATTATCAAGTTTCTGCGATCAAGGAGAGTAATCATCACCCAGCTCGGTTCCCGAGGGAAATTCACGATCCCATAAAACATCGTATCGGGCTATGGAAACAGTTTCATCGAACCTGGAAGATCCTCTTACTAAATTAGAACGCATCGACATATTAATGTCTTAATTATAAAAGAAAGGAAGGCACCATTGCGCTGTCCTTCAGGAGAATGCAAATAACATTTTGTTCTCATGAATTAATAGTAACCTGCTTGTATTTCAACCTTTAGAACAGCCTTAGATTTTAATTTAACTTGCGGGGCATAGTTCGCATTTTATGACATATTAATTCTGCACATTTAACTTAACTGGCTCATGAAAAATAGAGGATGATGAAACCTGAGAAGCTAGAAAAAGCAAACTGATAGAAACATTAGCAAGTCTACTAAATGAAAATTAGTCATGATATTAAAACCAAATTATATGTTAAAGAATGTGAAGTCAATATTCAGAAAGAAATCTAGGAAGTTGCAACCAATATTGGAGACTGTCTGCATTTTTATTCATAACATGATACAAAAGATTCATGTTTACCTGATAATTGAAATCATATTTCTTATCTGACGCAATATAAGGAAGTTCCACATCATTTCGAAAATGTCGCAGCTTCATTTGTCGGCCTAAATTATAAAAGAAAGTCACAGAAATTATAAAAGTAGTAAAAATAGCCAATAGTTTTACAAAGAAAAACTTGATCAAGCTTAGTTTCTACATTTATTTCATAGTTTTTTAAATAAGTAAATTTAATTTTCCAAACTATTTGTTACAAAATTAGAAACTGAAGTTAATAGGCATAAAGAACAGGAGTTTATGACTTTGAAACTTACCCAAGAGATGAGAGTGTAGAAATACTGCAAAAATCCTAATGCCTTCTGGTGGTATTGCCTAAAGACACATTATATCTATAGCATTAATTCAGGAAAACACTTTTCATGCTCAAAGTGACAAAATTAAACTTTTAGAATACTGTTATTATTTAACAAAACTTGATAAATTTTAATTAAAAACATTAATCATAATAAATTTAATGTAATTAAATTACAAGCCATAGTTTCATTTTGAATGGGAAACCAATAATTTAACTTGGCATCACAGAATCATTAAAGTTACTTGGGGTATAAATCTTAACAAATCAACTAAATATGTCTCCAGGTATGATCATATCGAACTATGATTGTGCCCATACCTGGTGAAAGTTTCTGAAGTTATTCATAGCTTTGTTTCAGTTGCAGCAGTTTGTAACCAATTTATAAGCTTTCTTTCATACAAAATTAGTTCATGAAAGTTTTATATTTGAATTCATTGCTTGGTTTAACGTAGTTTCCCTTGATTTGAGTGTTACTACTCTCCAATAATCCAGGAGTTTCAGGCAGAAGATTACTGGAAAAGATATTTTCCTCTTCCAGCAATCTTTTTCAATTTTTTTAACTATATTCCCGTATTTGTTAAGATTTTGGTAGTGTTATGATAAATTATTATGCCCAATTATTCTTTCTTTCATATTTTTATATATTTTAATATATTTTAACCTGAAATCATTGGGAAATATCATGTAGAATGAAACAAAGTCAAACTTACAAAAGAATAATACGAAAAAAAGGAAAAAGAGACTGGAAAGTCATTCTCAAAGTTTGTAAGATGAAGAAATGTTAGATCATTAAAAAGGAATTTTTTTCTTTAAAAACTAATTAAACAAAAGGAAAAAGTGGAAAGTTATTCTAACTCGTAACATTTTATTTATTTATTGAGCTTAATACATAAGGCAATCAATAATGTAACCAAATATGTAATAATAATAATATAAGCAAACTAAAGCTTTTGTTTATTAAAATGTTTTGGTAAATTACAAAAATATTTTTATAATTTCTAAAAAGATTATTTCAACATTAAAAATATAAAACATAGACTCTGTTAAAATGTGAGCTAGCTCTGATATCTTATAAATATTTGGTTGCCATAAATTTTTATCATTAATATATTTAACCGCTAACTTCCCTTGTTGACAATTGTGTAGACCTTATATGCTTCCCAGGGTTCATGAAATTGTCTTCTTTTTTTTCTCATTGTTCCTAATTTAAGAAAAGCTTTAATAGAATATTTAATCGTCATATTTTCTCCGTTACACTCCGATAATAATTACACTGTAAATAATTCTTTTGCATTTGATGATAAACTCAAGAAAATGTCTCCTCACAATACAGTTATGAATGTTAGAAATTAAAGACGAGAAAAAAGGAAAGCCAGCCTTATACTTAGATCAAAAACTTATTTGGAAGTTTGAGATTTGTCTTATTTTGGCAAAATTAAGTTTGTTTATTTCATGATGATTAACCATAATCTTCTAACAAAATTATGGTGATATATGAAGGGGGGAAATTCTTACATACTAATTGAATTTTAGCCTATAATTTACTGAAAATGTTAGCCAAAACGAGTGCTAGCCGGTAATTAAATTAATATTCAGGTAAGATCAGGCACTGAGCAGACTTACAGAATAAAATAAAGCAGTAAAAATATAATGCACAGTTTTCAGAAAAGGTATACGTACTGGTCCGAGACACCTGGGATCAGCATGTCCAGCAACGATGAATTTCCTTCTTCCGGGTGGCACGACTATACACGGATCTACAGAAGCTCCAATCATTAATGTCATAGCATCGTATCTTCTTAAATTCGGAGTAAAGTAAACACGAAATCCAGACTCGTCAACAATACCTGAAGAAATGAGTGATTTATTAGAAAACGGCAATTTTAGAACTATCGAATCTCATGATATGTACTTTCAAAACAGGCAGTGAGCCCACATCCGGTGGCAGAATTTAGATTTAGTGGTACTTGCGCACAAATGGAATAGAGGAACACTTGCGCGTAAGAAATATTCATTGCTGAATGGCTAATAATAGCTTACATAGTTTAGTGGGAGTTGCATACAGAACCAAGTCTTCTTGATTATCTTTCAATAACTTGGATTATTAATTTGTTTTACAAAATTTTAACCTGCAAAACTGCAAAAATATATATTTTAACAAAGTATTTACATTAAGAGGTAACGTTTAAAAAATGATAAATACCTCAAGAAATCAGGTACCTTTTAAATGTCAAAATATCCCCATAATGCAACACATTTTAAAGTTCACTGTCTTTTTAACTGGTTTATAAGCATGAAATTTTTGAATACTTACTATTTAGATATCTTTAATAATGCATTTGCTACTTTTATTTTATATTCCAAATATCAAAATACTTTTAATAATGTCTTTTTTCTCATCCATATAATATTGTACACTGCTGGCCATTAAAATTGCAACACCAAGAATGAATGATCTGACGAACGTCAAAAGCACATGAAAGGAAGAAGTTGGGATACGCAAATGATTCGTATTTCAGCGCATTTAGACGATACAAGAGAGAGAAACGACATCTGAAGCACTGCATAAAAGAAAAGTTGTGTAATGGATACTTTATTCGGAACGTGCTTTGTAAGGTTGGAGTTTGCTCTGAATATCGTATTATGCCTCGAATAAGAAGAGGAAATACTTACCAGCAAGCTTTGAAATTCGATAGAGGCAGTATCGTTGCCTATCCAAGGTATAGAATATCGTTTCGTGATGTCGCACTGCTCGACATCCAACCACTGTCATGCAAATATGGAATCAATGGATTGTTAAGAGTTATATTGAACGGCATGCAGGATCTCAACGCCCTCCCATGACTAACACCAGAGAGGAAAGGCATATTGTGAGGTCAATCTTACAAAACCATACAACCACATCAAGGAGCATTAGTTAGGAAATGGGTATGTTTGCAGCACGCCCAGTATCAGCTCGGAAGGTGCATCGACATTTGCAGCAGGTGGACTATCAACAGGTTGACCATTACTTCAGCTTCCCTTGACAATGCAGCATAGAGAGAGACGCCGACTCTGGTGCGCCAAACGACAAAGCTGGGTACAAGAGTGGCACAATGACGCCTTTTCAAACGAGTCCCGGTTCTACGTGCAGTATTCTAATGGCAGTATACGTGTCTGGAGTGTCCGAGGAGACCCTACATCGCCTGCTTGCATTCGATATCGGCATAGGGGCTTTGCACCTGGTGTGGCGTGATGGTTTGGACAACCATTGGGTACATGACATGCACATCTCTAGTTCGGATCGATGGTAATTTGAATGCAGACGGGTATATTTCTGAGATCCTACGTCCAGTGGTTGGGCCCTATCTTCGAGACCGCCAAACGTCAACAAGATAATACAAGACTACATGTTACACGTCGTGTTCTGACCTTGAACGATACATAGAATATTCAATTGCTGCCCTGGCCTGCATGGTATCCAGATATGTCAACCATCGAAAAAATCTGGTCATGGGTTGCTAAGAGACTGGCCTGCCACCCTTCTGCAGCTAAGACGGTTGATGAAGTGCGGCATAGGTTTAAAACAGCATGGAATGAGTTGCTCATTTCTGCCATCCAAGCCTAGTTTGACTCCATGCCTAATGGGGTAAAGGCCGTTTCAGCTACCAGAGGTGGTAACTATTTCTACTAATTTCGCACGCCTGTAAACCTCCAAAATGCTTTCAAATTAAATCATTTTGTCTTCATGCCATACTATTTACGTGCAATAAATATCTTTTTTCTATTTGCTTTCCTTCGGGGTGTTGCAATTTTAATGACCAGCAGTGTAATATGTACTGCGCGCAGGGTCATATAAACAAATCACCATTTTTAACTGATTTTTTCCCCTCAAAATAGAAAAGTATGTAAGGAATTTTACTAACGTTTATTTTATTTAAAAACTTTGCTATGCTGTCTTATTTTCCATTTCCGGCCAGAAAAAGTGCAATTAGATTTGTTTATGCAACCGAGGTTGTAAACTGTATAAGTATTTAAGATATGGCTTTTAGTCAAAAGAGAGAGAGAGAGAGACTTCTTGCTGGCTTACCACGTGCGTACTTCTCAGTCAGTTCATGTCTACCTTTAAGGCCGGAACTTAGTTCTCGCTGATACGTACTGTAATTTTTTGCATTCTGCTCACTATATGCATAGTGTTAAAAGGCCAATCTTAGCGTTACTACTCTCTGTAGAGCATTTAAGTTCAGTTCTTATTTTCTAGGTTTTAGACCATAAATGCTGGTCTTTGTATCTCGAAGTGCGGGAACGGCTATACGCTGTGAGAAATAAAGGATAAATTTAACCCTTCGGTAATTGTACTGTATCTTCTACACAAGCACGAACATAGTTTTGAGTAAATTCCCTGTTCCTAATCAGAACTCCAGTTATGTTTCCAAAGGCAATTAGAAGGAATAGCAGTCCTGACAAGTAATACAGACTTAAAATGACCTACATTAAAAGTAACAGAATTACATTTACTTAAAAATAACATTTTTATTTTCTTAACTCAAAAATCGATTATTTTTTTATATAATAGATAATTTTTAATATTTTAGTCAAGAAGAATAAGTAGTTAAGTAGTTTCTCATTTTAAATTCACTTAAAGTTTTTGCACTTATTTCTTATTTTTTTAAAATTTAAGAATACTTAAAGCTCTTTGTGCACCACACAAGGCTTACAGACTTAAGTCAGTTAAAAAAAATATACAGAAGGAAGAGAACGCCATTTTATCTTGAACAAAAACATGCACAGGGAAGGAAACTTTGATATGATTTGAACTTACCGTGCCCAGTTAGAAATTAGTAGTTTCAAAATTGCAGAAGAAATGTTTATTATTCAGTCTGTGAGGAACAGAAGAAAAAAAATTAGTTAGAGAGGCAGTAGAGGAATTTCTGTATAATTTATTTCATTTGATAGTAATTTCATTTTAACTTTGTTTCTTAATGAACCAACTTAGGCAGTATTATTGGGGTGTTAACTTGAAAGTTTGCAGCTTGTTTTGCCAATCAGTCGGGCCTTCCCAGATTGCCATTGTGGCCACGTACATGAGAAAAGATGACATCAACACCTTTATTATTAATATCTTACTACTAATAATAAGATTATTAAAGATTATTAAAGATTTATAGACTTGGTCAAATTTTTTAAAATTATGACTAACAGTTTCAGAGAAATCGTGCACGCAAGCAAAAAAATTATAGTTATGAGGAATCTTAAAGATATTGCTATGAATTTTGTATATATGTGACATGAACGAAAAGGCGAAGCTTTGCCGGAAAAATAAGATTACAAGGGCAAGTCTATTTAGAGTCTACACTAAGGTCTGCAGTGAGGTTATCGAGATATTGCTAAGCTGAAGATTGTTTTGGTCACTAATTTTCCGCCAAATTTGGCGAGAAATCGCCAAAAGCTGCCAAACTAGGCGACCATCGTGTCTGATCCCTGTATAACAGTAATTTGTCTAATTCCTATATGACTGAAACTGTAATGCCCTCCAGCAATTTCGAGAAACCGAAGGCACTGGAAATTTTTCGGCGACAGGGAAAAACTATATGAAACCGGAGAGAGCATCAGTTCTCAGTTGTTTAGTTCCGAGTGCGGAGTATTCAGAGCACGGAGGTAGGAAGTAAGAAGGAAAAGCCCTAGCCGGTTTTTTCCCATACACTGCTTTGAAGCATGGTGATCCCTTCGTACATTCAGTGACCAAAACATTCAGTGATTTACCATTAAGATCAATTGGTTTTGACATGATCGGATGTAAATATTTTGTAATTACTTCGTAAATATACATTTAAGAGTATATATTTTCTTTTTTATATAATATTTCAGAGTCCTAAGTGAGTGAAAAGAATACATTTTTAAACAACATTTCATTCTGAACTGAATTAAATGCTATACTTTTCACAGAACAGTTTGCTGAGAAAGGTTTAATTTGAATGAAATATTTTCACAAGTTCTCGTTAATTACATTAGAAAAATTTTTTTAAGGTAATTCGATTTTATTCGGTTAAGGACTAAAAAAATTAAGATCAAAGTTTATTGTATTATTAATATTAAAACTATGCATTATTTCTTTTCTATTTATAGAGTTTCTTTGTAAAATACTTTATCAAATATGACATGATTTTTTAGCTTCTGATGCATATTTTAAATCGAAAAATGTAAGTCAATTTATATTTAACTAGGTGTACCCGCCCGGCGTTGCCCGTGCATTTAGAAAATGCAGATAAGTGAATAGCGCAGGAATAGTAGTGTAGGACATGTAGACTGTCTCTCTCTCTTCCCCCCCCCACAAGCTACAAAAAAGAAATGAATTGTAATTAATCGATTTAATGTATCGTCAAAACAGCAAACTAACGCTAGAATAAAGAAATCAATTGTACACAATCGAACGTTATTTGAAAACAAATAATAATATCAGTGAGTCAAAAAAACCGTGATTAATAATTATAAATAATTTTTTTTTAATTTTTCTAATTCAAAAATCGAAAATCGGGCTTCGAGGTCTGGTGGCCAGCCCCTTTGTGCTTCCGTATAAAAAATTCCAGGTCCCTGCGTGCGATAGATTTGGCTGGAGAGCTCGGTCAGACAGACAGACAGACACATTACACTTGCTTTTATTATTATAGATGCTCTATTCGGTCCATTTCAAATTACAATACCTTTTATTTTAATGGTAAAATACGTTAAATATTGGTGCTCATTTCCATGTACTTAACTTTTTCCATGTACTTAACTTTAACGTATTTGTGAACAGGATTTCAATTTATGTTTACAATTCAATGTTAAAATTATTATATATTTAGATAATATTTATATCATTATAAATATAGATACATTATAATTAGATTTCTTCGCAGTAACTTTCACAGGAGTTTAAGAATGAATAAATCCTTCATTTCAACATTTATACATAATTGAATAATATTTACGTATTTTGTTAAAGGCAGATACATCCTTTTTGCAAGTAAATGCATAAATTCCCATACATATTTTCATATTTTTCATTTCAAGGTTGTGCAAATATTTTAATTTCTGTGCATTCACTATACTTTTTCGAAGTAAAGTAATTTTTACCAATAATTTAACATATACCCGAAAGTTTTACATAAGAAATATGTATAAATAAAATTTGAATGAAAATTGAACGCATTATTTTTAATACCCACTCAAAAGGGCAGTAAGTTTTTAATCAAAATTCCTCCACGATGGCATCTCTCCCTTGCATGCCTTACTCTACTTAATAAAAACTTAATCTGACCTAAGTATCTAATTACAAATATTTTAACATGCATAATTTTATATTTACATTTAGCCATCAAGTTTCAAACTTTTGACTTAAAACACGTTCAAGATACATTCATTATCAAATTCAAATCTAGTAAATATATTTTGGCAGAGCACTCAATACATCTTTTAGCGATTTTACCCAGTTTAATAATTCTCTGATAATATAAAAAATAATAATTATCCATGTCACATTTAAACATTAACGGCATTGCCATCAGATCGCAATCTTGATTGCCTCACTCAGTATAATATTACTTCATTCGCAGAATTCGCAAATGAATCCATCTTCTGCTCCACACATTTGTGTAAAATTGTACATAATTTTACACAAATGTGTGGTTACAAACCGAGAAAAAGTTATCTTATTGGTATAGCTGTGTGTATATATACTAATTTTGACGTTGATTGCAGCATTTGGTGGTAATTTTATTTTTCAATTAACCCAAATAAGTAAAAAGTGTAAATCCAAAGTGATTATTTTTAAGTCATATAAAAATAAAATGATGAGTTTAAAATTAGCAACTATAAAGCCTCTCCTCTAAAATTTTTTAAAAAGTACATGTTATAGTAATATGTGGTTGACCAAAAAAAAATTTTATTTAAACATTTTGGCTTTTGAAACATAAAATAAAAGTAGCGAATATTCTATCAACGGTATCGAAAGGCGTACCCAATTTTAAAGGTACCCGTAAGGGTACATTTCATTCTTTAAGCATAACATTTTTGCTAAAATCTATATTTTTGCAGTTCAACAGCTTAGAATTTTATAAGAAAAATTCGTAATCAAAATTGCTGTTGTTAGTTACATACAAATAACCAAGATGTGATTTTCGCGTAAATGTCGCTACAAATTGCTATTATCCACCGCACAATGAATGTTTCTTTTATGCGAAAGTGTCTCGCTTTTCGATTTGTATGGAATTGTCGTGTGTCGAAATACTATCAGAGCGCTGTCAAGGGAGCTTTTGAATGTAAACAAAAAACACCCCATCTGGAGTATCCATACGTACCGAAGCCTCGGATCACTGCTTCACTCGTAGTGCGGAGTTGGTCCCTCCTTCCTTTCTTAACTCCATGCTCTCTCTGTTTTTTTGGGCAGGGAGGTCTGGTTGCACTATTCTAATGAGTTTAGGCTGAAAGTATTTTCAGATGCGGATGGCAGGAGTGTCTATCCGAATACAATATGTATAGGTTCTCATTTGTGTCTGTAATTTCCGTTAAGAGAAGCAAGGCCAATTGAAACTCAAGCCTGTCAGATTGGACAAAATTCCGGTTCCCAGTTTTCAGTAGATTTTGAAAAATTTATCACTAGGTGACGCTCGCGACTCGCTGTACTTTGGATATACATTCACCATTTGTAACATAGCTTATTAATAACAAAAAATGTATTTTATTAAAAAGTATCGTAGTTTGCTAAGAGTAATACAGGTTGGTATATTGTCGCATGCCATATTGTAAAGTTTTCTTCCTTTTAATAAAATTTTTAGGATTGTATTTAAATAATTATTCGCAACATATAACTGATGGAAATGCTATGCATAACACAAAATTTCATAAACAAAAACTATTATCACGTACAATTTTAAAGCTTTAAAATTGTTTCGAAATGTTTTCCCCCCCTCAGCTTTTCTATATGAACAAGCTTAATACGTGTGTGTATGTGCGTTCAGCTCAATACTTCTCATCTTACAGTTTTATTGTATTCTGCTATCAAAAATCTGTTATCTGTTGAAGTACTTGGTATTCAGCACGAACAGATTCAAAATTTTATACAGCTTACATTGTGATTAATATCATGTATGTATGATGTGCATATAAATTTGAATTCTCTGCATCCTGTAAAAAATTTAAAACACATGTCTGTACGTAATGGATAATACTTCCTTTCTTACCTCCATGATTCAGAGATCTTCGTGCGATCATCACCTTTTAGATGCGCGTTGCATAGTGTTGTGTTTAAAGTTTTTAGTAGTCTGAAGTGTAACTACTGCTGCGCTCTGTCATACTGTACGAGTACTTTGTGAAACGTTAAAAAACTGCAATGTATTGATTGGGGGAAATTAAATTTTATAAAGCTTTCATAGGTTCCGTGTGCATTCAATCCATTACGAGCACGTACTCTACCTTCAATTCCTGTAAATCAGTATTATTTTCTTAATAAAGAAATATAAAAATTACATAAAGATTTTCAGCATGTATAATTATATATTTCAACAATATAATTATAAATGCATAACATAATAATAATACTCATTATTATATATTTTTGGTATCGAGCCATCTCCTTTCTTTGCTCGTTTAACTGCATTTGACATCTGAAATTTAACTTCTGTTTCGCCCAGTCAGACTTGCAGATGTGTAATTTTCAAAATTACTTCATTTCGCGTCGTCATCCATTATTTACATCTTCCAGTTTTGCATTTAATACATATTCGCGTTGTCACTTTAGAATTTCATTTAACGCTAAGCTTTCGATACCTACAATGGATATAAACTGCAAAAAGTTTACTTTTAGCCGTTTTAGTAAGGATGAAATTAATTTTATGTAAATATTCTAAAAAGAACTAGGGAAAAAATAATAATACAGAAACATTCAGAACGAACATCAGAGCAAAAAAATGATATCAGTGAATCATAAGGCTGATTGACTCTTTTTCACAGGCTGCGTAGAAGTGGGACTTTTTATCCATAACTGGTTACACCTGTTCATGTCTTCCCATGTGAATTATATGTGTGCAAATGCCATGTACGTCGGCGTGACATCACCCAGAAATTAGAGGCAAAACTTAAAAAATTTTTTGGGGCACTGGGCGGCAGAATTTAGGAGCCACAGACAATGAACCACAGAACGGAGCCACAGAACAGCGATAAGATCTAGAGTCTGCCAAAAGGACTTGCACATAGGCAAAAAGACCCTGTGTATACTATTGAAATCAATGCTTTCGTATGTATTTAATTTTCTTTTTAAGTGCTGTAAGAGGAACTATTCTATTATCAATATTTGTGGCCTTTTTTTATAGAAGCTTTTACACATGCTGATTATAAGGTTAGATGATTTGAATACGGCAAAGCTTTCTACCTCAGAAAATAGGATGCTTTCTTGGAGAACTTAAGAGAAAATGGCTCGTGTCTACGTTACACATAGAGAAAACTCAATTGCCCATTCGCCTAAGTCCGAATTCGAACTGAACTAACAATATTCAGCTTTCTCAACCGTTAGGCCACTGGTGAGGCCCTGACTATGATTTAAATTTGAAAATATCTATATTTTCAAATAAAGCTTTTTGATAAGTAGTGAAGATTTAAACGGTTATCAGATGATCACGTCAGATTCGATGCTTAATGAATTTTCGAAACTGAAAATTTGTACTTTGCACATGATACTGCAGATGAGATTATTTTTCTATCTCTGCGCTTGAAGGTTATAATTCACTGAAATATGACATTTCTATTGCATTGTGAATGTTTAATTTTATCTAAAGCGAGTTCCAGTCTCTTTTAGAAGCAGTGGAATACTAAAAATGGTTAATACACGAGTTTTCTGTTTGAGAAATTCCCTTTTCCTTTTTAAGCGACTCATGCAAATTTTCTAAGAGACGAAAAAAAAAAAAAAAAAGAGGGACATTTTAAATTTATGATTTCATCGGTTAAAACTTAGAAATCAAATCTCTAAGAAATTTTAGTTTATATATATATATATATATCTATATATATATGTGTGTGTGTGGTGTTTCTTAGTTAGTTTATTTTATATATATTATATGTGTGTGTGTGTGTAAACTTTTGCTTTTCATTCTTTTATACTGTCATATTATCAATTTATTAAAAATATTCACATATCTAAGCACTAATTTTTAAATGTTATTATAAATTATTTAAACTCTGTAACTTTTTAATTTTTAACCAAATTAGAATCTGAACTCACTTACCAGAACGGAATTCACTATTGTCATAATGTATTTCTAGTAAAAAATAAAGATTTGGTTTATCTCCAAGTGGCAACCCTGCTTTTTCTGGCATTACCATAGCCTACAAACACAATAAAACAGTATGCAATTGAGTACAGAAAGAACATAAATTAAAACATAAAAGTTTATTATTATATAATTCTTTCCCTTTGCAAACTATTTGTTAAATTCTAATTTAATATTTATGTTTAACGAATGTTTAATGAAAGCATGTTTAACGAAGATGAAAGTCATAAAAAATAACTTTAACATTTCTCCAGAAATCGAATATTTTTAACTCGAAATAAAACTGAATTCCCCCCTCCCCCGAATGACTTTGAAATTACTTTTTGTTTGCTTGCTTGTTTCACATTACTTTACTGAGTGGTGAAGTATTACTTACAAAGCATTTAGGTTGCAGTCCAAACCTCCTTTGTTAAGTCCACAAAGAGGAACTAATTTTTACTCCTGTCTTTTTTGTTTCCTCACTTCATCATTCCCACAAGCATTTGCCCATTTAAGGGATCTTTTGAAATGTAGTTTAAAGTAAATTGTAATTTATTTTAAAAAATGGAATCTCTATTTTTATTTGCAATGAAGAAAAACTGAGCTTTTGAAATAACTCAGTTTCCAGTTGCAGTTAGGGAACAACATGGTTATAAATTGTAGATATTTTACAAATAACAGTAGTTTTTATTTACCATTAGTTGCTTAAACAGCTCAGTTTCTATTTACACATAGTTTACATATATTTTCCCATTTTAAAGTATTTAATATGTTAGCTTTCAAAATGAACAGATAAAGTATTTAAGATATCTTTGGTACATTCAGTGCCGTAGCTAGAGGGAGGAGGAGGAGGAAGAAGTCCACCCCACTCGGCAGATTTTTAAGGTGGGGGCATTTTTTGTTTGAAACCATAGTTTATAGGGGTTAGTGGAGTGGATTATCGAGGCAGATGAAGAATGATTTTTTTCGAAGTTGCCATACCGAATTAAATTGAGAAGAAAAAGTGTTTTTACTCTAGATAATGCATTCAAAGAAATCATTACATGATTTCAACAGCTACCATATTCTTTCTATACCTTTCGCATTCCGTCGAAACATTTAAATGCAAATTTTGAATATCAACTAAATTATGATCACGATGACATTAATAAGGAGGAATTCTGCTTTAAGAAAGAAATATTTCAGAGTGTTATTTCCATTATCGACGCAGAAAAGTGGAAAAGCGGTCCTTTTAATTTTTTGCAATTTATTTAAAAATACAAACTCCAGAACGAAGTTCCAAATATTAAACTACTGCTTCGAACTTTCTTCTCAATTGCTGCAGGTATTGCCAGTTGTGAGGAGCATTTTCTAAATAAAAGTCATTTTATAAGGTATTTTCTCCCTCCTTCTAGCATATCTTCGTGGTGTAACGGTAGCACACTACGCGGGTATTCGAGAGATCTAGGGCACTGCTCATTTTTCATTACTCCGGCTTCCAAATAGCCTAACAAGTCTGCAAGTGGCGCCCGAACTGAAAGGTCGTGGACTATAATTCGTTTCCACCAGTATTTACTGTTTCCGTCCCCTAATTCCAGTCGCCCTTTAAAAGGGGGCGTATATAAGGCATTTTCTCCCTCCTTTCAGCATACCTTTGTGGTATAATGGTAGCACACTCGGTACGTATTTGAGAGTCCAGGTTCGAGTCCCGGCGAGGGCATTGCTTTTTTTTTTCATGTACTCCGGTTTCAAAAAAACCTAATGACTCTGCAATTTGACTACCAATTGACTACGTGATACATAATAGCAAGAAAATTCAAACATATCTCTATAATGTCATTAATGGTTTTACGAATAAAAAAGACAAACAAAATAATATATAATTTTAAAATGTGGAATTAGGGTTTGTCTTCAGAAATAAACGGAAAGTTTATTTCATTTTCCTACATGTCGTTTTGACATTTTTGTGGTTATTTGTTTGTATACCAGGAGGGCCGACAAATTCAAACATCACCCCAAACGGCAAACTCAGGCACTGCTATAGAGTAGCGTTTCTTGGCTTGCGGACCGGTAATATTCGTGAGCACATTTCGCAGACCAGGTGGTCGGACGTACATCTTTGTTCACAGATTAGGATCAAAGTATAAACCCATATTTTAAATATTCAGTGTTTGTAGAGCCTAATAAAAGTTCCCCACCCCCGGGTGGACATCTAAGTCTCTTGTTTCACTGTCAGTTTATTGAGACGTCGAAATGATATTAAAAAAATTCTGTAGCTTACCTTGTTTACGGTTCATGTTATTAAGGTCTAAAAAAATTTTTTTCCTTAGCACCTATATAAGTATTGAGAAAACAGGGATGAGTGAAGCAAAGCGCTCCGCAAAGAAAATGCCTCTGAGCCTAAGAAACATCTATCAACAATACATATTCTTTGTCTGAGCGTTCTCCGGCATATTTGCCACATTTGGCAACCACATCATTTACACAACTGGGCGCAATTTACTTTTTTGCATCGTAGAATTATTGCAGCCCTTTCTCTGCTGTGAACATTTCCAATACCTTCTTAAATAGAACTGTTTAAGAAGGTATTGACATTCCGTCCAGTTTTAAAAAAAAAAGTGAGAAGTAACAAACGCCAGCGCACTCCAGTGCTGCCAGCTTTCAAAGACAAAATTATGAATGCTAGATCCTAAATTTACGGCATGCATTAACGTAAAAAATATCGTACAAAATTTTATTATTATTTGAATAAAAAAATTTTTTTAACACGCACAGGTAAAAATCTCAGAAGACCGATCAAAGTTTTCCGCGGACCGGTGAAGATTCGCTGGATCAGTAGTTGAGAATATCTGCTATAGGGGAAGTAACGCCATAGAAAGTCATATGATGAAAAGAATTAAGTTGTTACAAGGCCGGCATTGCTGTATATGGCGCATTGATGGAAAAAGTTTTGGACACCCATCCCTATACACCAAACATATCGAAATAAGGATAGAATGTTTCACACAAGAATGACTTTTGGTGTTCTAAAATAATCTTGATTATTTGGTGCGGCGCCTTTTTGCATTTGATGCCCTAGGCGGTTACCCTATCTCGCTCCTCTTTCCCCTCTTAAAGTCGCTACTGAATTGTTAGATGATTATTGCTGCGGAACTGAACTGTTTAGAACTGCTGTTTGAGAGTTTGGGTGTGTTGGGAATGCAATTTAGGAAATGAGTTTCTTTTTCCATATTTTTCAAACTATAGCAACACTGAAATACAGAGACGGCGCTAAGGACTTTTCCATACGATGTTAACTCTGCGGGTCCTGAACGGTGTTCCCTATATTCTAAACATTTTGCCCTCCTACTACATTTGTTGCTCGGCTCTTCTTTGAATTCTAAAAATTTTGCAACCCCTAATTTCTGCCGCCCAGTACAGTCCTGCTTTAACTTCCACTTGCCGATGACAATGTAGTAGTACAAGCTGAGGAGCTATTTCGTGATTATCACAAACCCGTTTTTGTTTCTATCATACAAAGCACAGGAATTTTTTAAACAACGTTTTTCTCAAAATTTTGCGCTTTCCTCCGATAGAGGTCCGACTGCAATGTGTTTAATGTACAAAATCTGCTTTAATGTACTGCTTAAGTGATTGGTAAATCTCTCGTCAAGAGCCTGCACATTTCGAGGCTTAATTGTATACTTTAACAAAAAGTGGTATGATACTGGAATAAAATAATGCGAATAAAGAATCAGCTGCCGATCATAGAAAGTGATAATGAAATGACATGAGATATTTTATGCAGATAATGCGTAAAGGATTTACTCTTTTCGTGCCCCTGCCTTCATGGTGTAATTGGAAGCACGCGCAGCTGACAATCGAGGAGATTCAGAGCTCGACTACCGGCGAGGGCATGGAGGATTTTTCTCATACCGCAAGCTCTAAAATAATATAAAAATGACTCTGCCCAGTGGCATAGTTAGAACTTTAGAACTTTTGCAGCCCGAGGCAGTGCCTGAGTTTGCCGCTTGGGGTGATGTTTGAATTTGTCGGCCCTCCTGGTATACAAACAAATAACCACAAAAATGTCAAAACGACATGTAGGAAAATGAAATAAAACTTTCCGTTTATTTCTGAAGACAAACCCTAATTCCAACATTTTAAAATTATATTATTATTTTGTTTGTCTTTTTTATTCGTAAAACCATTAATGACATTATAGAGGTATGTTTGAATTTTCTTGCTATTATGTAGACAATAGAGTATCACGTAGTCAAATTGCAGAGTCATTAGGTTTTTTTGAAACCGGAGTACAATGAAAAAAAAAAAAAAAGCAATGCCCTCGCCGGGACTCGAACTTGGACTCTCAAATACGTACCGAGTGTGCTACCATTATACCACAAAGGTATGCTGAAAGGAGGGAGAAAATGCCTTATATACGCTCCCTTTTAAAGGGCGATGGAATTAGGGGACGGAAATAGTAAATGGCTACTTGTTAATATTGTAATGTAATACTTGTTAGACTATTTGGAAGCCGGAGTAATGAAAAATGAGCAGTGCCCTAGATCTCTCGAATACCCGCGTAGTGTGCTACCGTTACACCACGAAGATATGCTAGAAGGAGGGAGAAAATACCTTATAAAATGAGTTTTATTTAGAAAATGCTCCTCACAACTGGCAATACCTATAGCACATTTCCCTTCCAATAGCAAAAGCCCCATTTTTTACCCTCATATTCTTTATCCTTCTAAATTCTCCAGAACATAACTTAGGATTTTAAGTTAGTTGCACTGTTATAACATATATATTAATACTAAATGCAAAGCTAATAAACTTACACACCAACTTGCTCGCTAGATTTTTCAAAACCTGCCTCAGATCTGCAAAATATTTTCCAATCGGCAGGGTGAGAGAGAGAAATCATAGTTTAAGTAGATCCGCGTAGCTAAAAATCTACGTTCTTGAGAGCTCAGTTTCAGGTTTTTAATTTTAAATTTCTTTTAACATACCCTAGGAACCAGAATAGTGTTTTCATTACAAATGTACTTTTATTACACTTGCACAATTTACACAATATACACAATATTGGTGGCATCTGAAATAATAAGCTTCACTATTTTATTTAAAAATTTGCAGCAAAAGCTTCTGAGAGAACTTGATAATTTTATAAATTACAGCGCTTTTATACGAGTGAGCTAGTAAAGGTCAGTTACAATCATACACATTTTGCGTATAAATTAAAATCAATTAAGTAACTTGAAATTATTTGATTCTGTGAATAATTAGGTTGCTCAGTTGCCCAACTAGTTCTAGAAATTCTTGTTTATAAATAAGACTCAACCTATGAAAAATATTTACGTGAAGTATTCAAATTCAAGTTTCAATTTTCATTACATATTCAATAAAATTGAGTTACCTGTCCTCTAACGCCCCATGCAGCATATACACTTTCACATTTGGAGTAGGTGTGCGGAGTATCTGGAACATAACAGGGATGTCCATTGTGATGGACATGAGGCTCTAATTCTCTTGCAGTAGCTCCTAAGCATCTGTAAAGAACCATATGATGAACGTAACGAGCACTATTCCTCGAGACAAGTGGCTCCACCTGTTGGAAGGAGATGGAGGAATTTGTTTAGTCTTAAATTACAGGTTAGTTACCATACATTATTTTCTGCATTATATTTACCTAAAACATGTTACATTAGAGTTCTTTCATATTACACAAAAGGAATCAAAACGCTTTGGTTTAATCGGGTTAAGTTTCTTTTTTTTTTTTTTCGAGTTAAGCGTTTCTAATGTCTGTTTTTGCGTTTCTGATTATTTGTGCTGTTTGAAGTGAATTTTTGGGAAATATTTATTAATTTATTAAAATACGCAATATTTTTTCGCAACGACTCAGCCAGAGCGCGCTCCAGAACCAATGCAACTGGCGGCGGCGCAGCGAGAGGAAAATCTTTAGAATTAAAAAAAGTACCGAAAGGAAAAATTTAGGGATGACAAGATTTATTAAATTTAAAAATGCAGTGAAAAACAGAATTTAAGGACATGCAAAGATTTCACTGGGCGGCAAAATAATTAGCATCGTCCTTGCACTCAGCAGTCGTCAACTTCGATCAGACTTTCAAATTTTTCCCGAAGACTGATATACCAAGACGAAATAAAACGTTTTTATAAATGCTAAGTGTCTTTTTTTTTTCTGTTATGCAACTGAAGTACTTGTAAGCAATGTTTTACCTAATTTTTCTCATAACTAAATGATGAAGAAGTACAAAAGTCGTTCAGATATTTTTAAAATTATATTCAGAAGTAAAATAATAATAATAATAAAAGTTAAAATCATAACGAAATAATTATTTGATTACAGCGCGTCAGTTCCGAACTACATTTTTGTCTGTTAGAATTAAATGCTTTAGAGTGCTTAAACACGTTCCCTGTAATCGTTTTAGATAAAATATGACGTTTTTCTCTTCACAGAGAGTAATATTCTTATTCTGAAAATAAAATATGCTTTTAAAGTCAGACAATTATTGTTCCTAAAGACAAAATAAGTGACATAACTCATAATAAAGGCCCATACCATCAAACATTACTTTTATGCGGAAAAAGAGCAATAAATGAATATTCGAAAAAAAGGTTACTGTAACAATTATTTCAGTTGTTGAGAATCTAATTTAAAAATAAAATGCACCGACTGAAAGAATAATTGGTGTTTCATTAGCGTTTTAACAATGCTTAAAAAATAATAATCAAAGATTAAGAAACTGGGCCTAATTTAAGCAAGGGCCGAGGAGGATTCTTGCTCATCAAAGGATTTCCAAATTCTTCCATAGCATTTAAAATACTATGGAACATCAGCAAACCCAACTCTACTCATTTTTTTCATAAATATTTTGAAGTTAGAAGCAGGGAATAAGTACTTTAGGAATTGTTACGTTTTTTTTCCTTTCCAGTTCCTTTTTTTCAGTTCCGGGTTACGAAAATATCATCTTGTAAGTTTGTCTTACAAGTTATTTTCTCCGTCTTTTCCACGCCTTCGTGGTGTAATTGGAAGAACACTCGTATTGGAGAGCACCAGGCTTCGAGTCCCGACGAGGGCAGTGCATATTTTTCGCGTCTCCTTCTTCAAAAAACTATAATGACTCTACAAGTGGCGCCTGAACTTAAAGGTGGTGGATGATAATTCGTCACCACCAGGATTTGGCAAATGGGTCCCCTAATCCCACTGGCCCTTTAAAAAGGTGCTATATAGGATATAATTTCCTTTTCGCATACCTTCATGGTTTAATTGGAAGCATACTCAACGCGTATGCAGGAGATCAAGGGTTTGAGTCCCGTCGAGGGTATTATACATTTTTCATGTCTCCTGTTTTAGGATAAGCTGGTGGCTTTACAAGTGGCACCCAAACTAGAAGGTGGTGGTGGATAATTCGTCACCACCAGGATTTAGCGATTGGGTTCCCTAATCCTCATTCTCCCTTTAAAAGGGGAAGTATATAAGGTATTTTCTCTCTCCTTTCCGCATGCCGTCGTGGTGTAATTGGAAGCATATTTCGACGCGTATTCGAGAGGTTTAGGTTTTGAGTCTCGACAAGGGCACTGCACATTTTTCCCTTCTCCTGTTTAAAAAAAAAAATTGATTGATTTAAATGAAAGTGCATTGAATTCATGATATATCTACTTAAAATCATTCAGTATTTTTATAGATTACGTTACATATTTTTTCACTTTTCAAATACACGAAAGATACGGAAACTTCCCATGTTAGTCTCAATGGATATTCATTATTCTGTGAAATGTTTCGCTATTCCACCTGGGCCATTTCTATTGATAACCTCAGTTGCTATATCATATTAAACTTTAAAACAGCTCTTTTGAGCGACAGTTAAAATCAGAATCCTTTCACATTTTAATTGTTTTTCCCCATGAGTTATTTAATGTACTGTAGTTATTCAGGTATATGTAATAAATGGTAAGCAAGCAAAATTCCATAGGTATCAGAAAAGCGCAAAATAGTATTCAAACATCGTGATGTTCAAGACATTTCCATGAAATCCTCACGATCTGTATAATTATATAAACATTAATATTATTTAAACATTCAAAAGAAAAGGGAAAATTATTCGCAAACCAAATTCTTCGCATGAAAAATTCACCTTGTAGTCAGAACTGGATTAACTATTAAGCAATATAAGCACGTGTTTAGGGCACCAAGGAAAGGCAGCACCACAAAAAACTCCTTAGATATTCAGGAAAGTGATCTTTAGTTATTCAAAAAAATTTCTCTTTGCCTGTTTTTTCACGGAATGCATAGGGAAGCCAAACCAAAACCGAGAAAGAGAAAATATGAAGAAAAGATTGGTAAACATACGTGGGGGAATCAAAATCTCTAAATTGCATAAAGCCTCTAAAAATCTTAATCTGGAGTTTCTGGTCTTAGTATGCGTATACAAATATAAAATTTAAAGCAGAGTTCCTGGTAAATGAAATCCGATGCTTATAAGAAAAAAAGTGATAAAGGCGTTTTTAGGTATTCAGTTTCGCTCTTATTTGGCATTGGAAAAAAGAATTTAATAGAAACTTCTAATTTCTTGACCAGAAAAACCTTCTTTAGCCTTTTTTTTCCTTAAGGGTATGTCGAGAACCCTGCAAAGTTTAAGTTGAAGGAAAATATTTTTCAGGCAGTTGGATTACAGGGGATATAAATAGACACGATCCTGTGTTATAGATACGATCCCATATCATCCGCATAGCTGGTCTGTTTCTTCCTGGTAGTTGTGGAAACATCGTGACGCAGAACATGTAGAACTCTTTATCAGAATCGTTTAGCCGAATAAAATTGGAAAGACGAAGCGAATTTGAGGAAATATAGATTTATCTAAAAAGGCAATAGATGGAAAAAATTATCTATTTATTATCGTAGACCTGGAGAAAAAGACTTCTAAACTTCATTTTCAGACTTCAAAGATAGATCCAATAAAGGATTTATAATTGTTTCTGTTTTATCGTACAACATGAAGTTAAGATAAGAAAAAGTGAAATCCTTTTTCTTTAAACCAGCTAAGTAATAAAAATGATGTTTTAATTCCTATATTTAAAAGGAAAATTACATATTTTTATCCGCAAAGTATTTAATGAACGCAAGCTCATCGTAATAAAATATCAGTTATGTATAAAACGTTTCGGCTAAATTTCTCAAAATAATGTAAAAAATGACTTGCTAAACTACTAACCTTGCTCATTTCCTTAATGTTTTAACAATGGGGCTGTAGACATTAAACAAACAGTACAGGACTGTGGACATAAAAGACTGGATGGGTTACAGAAAAGAGTGAAAAATGTATGGGGCAAAACAAATCTGGCTGTTCTAACAAATTACCTTTTATCTCAGAAATCTTAATAAAGATTCACAATCCATAAAAGAAGCCATAAGACTGAATATTTAAGAAATAAGCGTTTTCATATAAAACAAATATTAAGGCTCAGTTTCTAAAATAAAAAGTTCTGGTTTCCTAATGAATTAGAATCAAGAATATTGCTTAAAAATAACAAAATGAAAGGCTACTAAGAAAAATGAATAAAAACAACTATAGAATTCCCCTCCCCGAATGTAAAAAATCAAATTGAAGGAAATAAAATAACAACAGAGTATAATATCGAGGACAGATGAGTTTTTCATCATTTCATTTTTATAAATGCAATATCATCTTTGTTTCTGTCCGAATATTTTATGATGGATATTTCTGTTTTCTTTAATTAAATTAAATTTAATCTCTTAATAACACTCATATACTCATCCGCAGGATAATTAATGCTCATCCGTAAGATTAATTATCCTGCGGATGAGGATGGCGCAGGATGAGGACCGCAGGACTGAAGAATTATCCTGCGGTCCTGCAATTTATTCCTACAATTGATCCTGAATCCTGCGGAATACTCATCCGCAGGATTAATTAATTCCTACAATTGATGAGATTGCAATACATAAAGCAGTATTTTTAACAATGCAGTTTTTAACCCAGGCTTTGTTAGAACGTATCAAATAATACTGCTTTTCAAAAAGTGAGAGTGTGAGTTTAAATAGGAAAACATCCGTAAACTTTGTACAACGGGTATTTAATTCAAACAAGGACTTGTTTTTTCAGTAGAACAGAATACAGGTAGATGAGTAGAAGCGACTTTTACCTCTCGATAATCCCATTTAAACTACTACACTTAGCCTAGCATTTATTTAGTGCTTGCAAATCAGTAGCGTAAATATATTTCTCAATACGCCGGAGTCATACTTGAATACTGCTTGCTTCTTCTCATCATCACTATCAGCATTCTGGTCTCTGAGACATTCCTATAAAAGTGCAGTGATTTATAGAACTACACTGAGCTCGGTATCCAACTATATTTAGCTACATCCAACTACATTAGTCGGATAATGTGTTTTGCTAATGATGCATTACACAGAATTATTCCTTTTGTTCTGTTGTTCACTCATCTAGTAATTTTAAGGGAAGAAATATGGTGCATTTCAGGAATGCATGAATTGAAACTGGTAAAGGTGATACAAAGTGCAATCCTGATTAGTCGAGAAATACCCTTATATGCGGTCATGTC